GAGGTCATCAACCCGACCGCCTTTGGAGCCATTCGCTCAGGGGGTGACGACGATGAGATGACGTCCACCTACTTGCGCAACGTATGATTAAAATACACCGCTACCACCACCACCACCACCACCCTCAGCCATTATCTATCCACTGCTGGATGAAGGCTTCCGCACGCGGTCGCCACCCGTCACGTGCTGCTACCGCCTGCGGTGGTCGCCGTCTCCTCGCGCGCGTCATCCCGCACGACGAGGGATGTGTCCTCGTCTCTCTCTTCCTCTCTCAACATCGTCAACATCGATGGGCGACGTTGCGTTTGCCGCTGCCGCTCTCGTGATCGCGGCAGTTTCAACAATCAGTGCAAGATTCCTTAAGCACCCCCCCCCCCCCCAAGGATCTGTCCACCGAGCACGTTACGTGGGCAGACACGGCAGTCCATCACAAAGTCCGTGCGGTGGTGGGCTAAAGCGTGGACTCTTAAGCTCTCCAGAGCTCCCTCGAGCGCACGCCCTTCCACCGGCGAGACATTGCAGGGCTGCGCCTTTGCCTTCGCCGCGGCTGCCGGGCGCTGGACGCGGGGCGATGCCTCAAACTCGGCACTTCGTTCACGGCGAATTATTTCGTTTTCTTCCGGGCAATAATTCGCTACCGCTTCCCCGAGGGCATTCCGAGTGCCCCCACCCCACCCCCCCACGGCGATGGCAAAGTCCCAGTGGGTGGGGGGAGGGGGGGGTCTCCGGGGAAAGGGAGGGGGGACGAATTAGGAGCTGCTGGTAATGGACGAGCGAGTTTAATAGCCCAGTGATGGCGTTACTGCCCGATTGGGAGCGAGGAGCCTCGTTTGCAATTGCCCATTATCGTGGTCACGGCACGCCGAGGCCTCTAGGGGGTAATGTAACGACACATGCCCCCCCCCCCCAGTCCCTGCGCGAGACCCTCTCGTACCCGCACGGCTCGAGGCGAACTCGCTGTGCCGGCGAGGAGGAATTCCACTGCAAGAGGCGGCGCCCCCACACAGGTGGCGGACTGCGGCGACGATGTTCACCGCGGCGACAGAACCACCCACGTTCTATTCACGCACTTGACCCACGTGCGTCTCAGTATCATCATCATCGTGATTATTAACAAGCGCCGGGACCCTGACGGACGCTCTCCGCGTGCAGAGTCCTCGCGGTCATGTGCCCAGTGCGGGGGTCGTCAAGCCACGAGGGGGCTCCAGGTGGGGGAGTCGGCAGAACGAGGCCGACCCTCACCGGCAGCCCTCCCTCCCTCCCTCTCGTCGTGGCCAGCAGACCTCCACTCTGGCAGCGAACTCCTGAACCACGCCGCTACCGCTGCTGCCGCTGCTACGGCCGCCGCTGCCGCCGCTACCGCCGCCGCTGCTGCCAACACACGCGACGGTAGAATATCCGAGCAGTGCCATATTCGCGGTGACGTCACGACGGACCTTGTGCCAGGCTAGGTGCACTATTCACTCCCGACCCTACCCCACACACACACCCCAGTGATTCGATCGCCACGATTTAAGCCTGCGGTTAGATGAAATAATTAACTATTTTTCATACAGCGGTGCATAATAGTGCGTCTAGTATTGAGTGCATTTGATTTGCCACACGGATGATCACGTTTAAGCCAGTTTCCCTGCTATTTTACAAGAGAGATCCCATAGTACGTGGGTTTAGCAAAGATAAAAAGACAGACACATCAACATTGCAGAGAACGAGTGACAGTGTCATTAAGGAATATTGGACAACGAACAAACGAGGTATTTTGACTGTTGTAAACGGATCGCGCGTGAATAAAAACACAGTGACAATCTCGATGACAGCAAGAGGCGTGCGGAAAGGTTAGGTACGTGTCAAAGTAAGCTCTGCGTTTTTGACTCTTTTCGGACATACGTGGCTATCGGAGTGACGCGATTCCATGGCATCGCACACACGCGATTCAATGCACGTATCGCCAATCGAACAGTTGTTGGTAATCGACGAATCGAGATTGTGTGAACGGCCGTTGGTAGCCATGAAGCACGCCGACCTGGCAGGAGTCATCGTGGACTCAGCACGAAGCTGCCAATGTCAGGCATTACCCCCCACCAACTCCCTCCAACAGAGGTAGTCATGGACAGCGACAGATGGGGTTAGAGCTCGGGTTAGCGTTAGAGATCGGGTTAGCAGGAGAGAGCAGGGCCAGCACCAGTTAGTGCGAGAGCGAGCACTAGGGCTCGAGAGGGTGCTCGGGCTTGGCGTTAAGTATTCGTGCTCGGGATAGTGGTCGTGTCAGGGTTTAGAGAATTACTGCTCGCGGGAGAGAGAGAGAGAGAGTTCGTGTTCAGGCGAGAGCGAGCGGTAGCGTTCGGGAGAGAGTCGCGGGCAGGGTTCGCGCTCTGCGCTCCTCCCATCGCTCGTCCACGTGGAGCCCCCCAGTCGCGGAGAGGCGCTGGGTGATGTGGCCGCGTCCCCATTCCACAGTCCCCCCCGCCCCCTCCTGCTACGGACAGAACCGATGACCTCACGGGCCCGCGAGCTACCACGACCCTCGCGGTCTCGTGATCCCACTGGCACCCTGGCCTCGTGGCCCTCTCGGCCGGGCGGGGAGGGCGCTGGGCGGTGGGGTGCGGGGCGCCGATTGTGGAGGGTCCGTGCGGTATTCCGCGCCCTGCCTCGACTCGAATTCCTGGCGCTCCGTTTAAAAGCCTCGAGATCTCAGGGTCAAGTCTGATGCCAACACAGCAGCCCCAGCGGCAGCAGAAGCCGGGGAAATAGCAGCTGGAGCCGAAACAGCAGTCGCCACAGTAGCGGCATCAGCAGGAGCAGCCCGAAAAGTAACCACAACTGCATCCGCAATAGCTGCAGATCCATCAGTGGCAACAGCAGGAGCCCCGGCAGAAATAACAGCTGCTGCTGATTTGCAGCCAAATCAGCAGCAGTCACAGCAGTAACAACAGCAGCCACAGCCATGCGAGAAGGCAGATCAGCAGTCAGAAATTCTTCAATATCAGCATCAGCCCTATCAGTAGCCGCGGGAACGTCAACATTTGCCACAGCAGCCCCCTCGACAGTAACATCAGCTTCAACAGCAACCTCAATATCAGCCTCACCAGCAGCAAAGTCGTTGTAATAGCAGCCTCAATAGTAGTAGTGACAGCAGGCCCAATAGCAGCTACATCAGCCGCAACAGCAAAAGATCCAAGGCACAGAGAATTGCTGCAAGGGTTAGAGGTGGTGGGTGGGTGGCAGGGCCAACCTCTTCCCTTACCCCCCCCCGCCGGATCCCGAACTCAGCTCTGGGACAGCTCCCGCAGTAATTAAGCCCTGGGTGGTGCAAAGGGTCAGGCCTGAGGCTGGGTGGGGGGAGGGATGGTGAATGTGTTGAGCAGAACTAGTGATGCGTTTCGGGCAAACACACTTTGTTAAAAGTCAAAATTAAATCTCAGTTGTGTTGGAATCGCGATCAAAGCACTCTGTGGCTATTTTTAACTGACACAAAAAATTGCAGTTCCAGATTTTTTTCATTAGACCCCCCCCCCACACACAACTACCACCCCCCAAACCCCCATCCCCCCTCTCCTAAAGAGCCCCAGCCACCCCCAAGACTTGGAGTAAATAAATGGACACGTGGAGGGAGCAGCAGGGGTCGGATGGACACGGGGATGGCGGTGGCACGCGCGGACCAACGAGATCTGCACCAAGCGAAGGGTAAACCACCACCCACTACAACCACCACCCACTACAACCACCACCCACTACAACCACCACCACCACGAGGGTTAACATGCACCACGGCCACACGTGCCCGCGTCACGTGTTACGTAACATCATGCGGAGTGTAGTGGTCGGAGGTTTTTCGACGCAAGCTTTGTGACTTCACATATGACTGCTATGTTACCCCGGCAGGGGATGCAGCCGTGGTGTAATGGTTATCACACTGGATCTGTAATAATCTAGAGGTCGTCGGTTCGGTTCGACCCAATCTCCCGGTGTGACAATGGATACAATGGGCGCGTTCTTGAACTCAACCCCGCTTCTGTCCGTCTGCCCAACAGCATCAAGCGGTAGACCACGGTTGATCGATCGGATGGGCGCGTGTGGTGGGGTAAACTGTGAGTACATCACCCCTCTTACAAAACGTCTGGCCAGCGTGTAGGTCGATGGTCTCTGGAGGGGCTCTCCAGAGCTCCTTCTCGCGGAGACCCTTCCGTCAGCAGTAATGTGCGTACGCAATTGCAGGGCTGCACCTTGACATACGTTACACCACAGATAGGTGTACAACAGCTGCTGATGATAACAATAATACCACCACCACCGTATTTATCCAGGAAATCCTCAAGAGTTGTATGGATCTTTGTCAAGAGGGTCCTGCACTGAGATATTTGGCCAGTTTAGTTTTGAAATAATGCGCTTCGCGTTTCACGTGGGGGGCAAACTGAAGTGCCCGGGGGAAAGCCACAGCGCACATGACCCCCCCCTCCACACGCTTTCATGAACCCACTCGCTCTACTGGCTGCCATCTCCCGGCCACTTGTCAGCCCAAAGTGTGTGTTAGCGCGTCTTAAAATCTCTTCTCCGTGATCCATCAACCCCTGTGCCTCCTAAGATCTGGATCACCGCGGGCGTGCACCACCACGATCGCCACCACGACCGCTACCACCACCGACTCAACTCAGGTGCCCTCGCGAGTAAACAGCGCGGCCATCAGGCGTCGGCGCACTCCGAGCGACACTCGTGTGCGAGAATTTCAGCTCCAGCTCGACGTCGCATTCGCAACAAAGTAAACTCAAAGTAGTTCCCCGATCAGTCACGCCATCGTGGAACGGTGCTCCATCTCCCTTTCTACAGCCCTGAATCGATCAGTGTAAATGTCCACATTCTCACGGCGAGAGCCAGTCAATGCCACCCACAGGATTAGCCACTTGTTGAGTGTACACTCTGACGGCACACGCACGCACGCACGTCGCATGCTGCCCACGTGTGGTGCGCGGAGTTGGTGATCGCGAGTGTGCGTGTGGCCTCACCTGGCCCAGGTTCATGTAGCCGTATTTGCTGGCGATGCGGTCCGCCTCGGTCGTCCCACCCGTCACCTTGACGGCCCAGTGGTTCGTGAAGACGGCGGCGAGCGAGGGCCGCGCGGCGTGACTCAGGAGCAGCCCCAGAGCGCACAGCCAGAGCCACGCGGACGGCCGCGGTGAGGCCGGCATGGTGCGCGCGGGTGGCGGCATGGGGGGCGGGGGGGTCACGAATGAGCGCGCTCGATGTCCACTTGGCCCCTCGGGCCTCCTTTCACCCTCCTCTCTCCCTGCCTCAACAGCAAAGAGTTTTTTCGCTTCACTCCTTCCCCCTCTTCGCTCGTTCTTCGCAGACTCTTCTCGCCTCGTCCGTCTCCGCTAGGCAGGAACCCTCGCTCACTCTGCGGCAGCTCTGCGAAGGGGACCCCGAATGCCTCCGTCCCAGCCCGGCTCACAAGATCCGCATGATCGGCGCGGCGGCGGCTCCAGGAATCACCGTGGGCTGGTTCTGGCTCAGCTCGCTCCTGGGTTGTTCACGATGCCCCTCCCCCCGTGCCCTTCGTGTCCCTGGTCCCCGCTGCTCACCTCGGGGCGCAGGAGACGGAGAGAGAGTGCAGGGGATGCGCGATGCTTCCCGTGGCTGCGGCTGCTGCTCGAGCGGAGAGGAGGGAGGAGGAGCAGGAGGAGGAGGAGTTGAAGAGAAACACGGGGCACCTCCCCCACAACCACCACCACCACCACAACCCGCACCCCCACCGACACCCGCTCCTGGGGTCCAAGGGGCACCATATGCAATACATCATGACCAGGTCTTTAAAAAAAGCGCGTTACATGCACGCGTCTTTGGCACACGTGTACACACATTGGCGTGTGTGTGCGCGCGAGTGTGCGAGAAAATGTGTGTGAATGTGTGTACAGCATGGGTATGAATGCGTTTGCGGGTCGCATTGTGCGCGTGTGCGTGCGCATTTAAATGCGCAAATTGCTTATTCATGTGTGCGTGTGAGCGCGCGGCCAAACACACACACAGAACGCCCGTGTAGCCGCACACACTGGCGGTGCTGCGACTGTTGTCAGCGAGCATCTATTAAGACTGACGCGGCTCACCATGGGGTAGTTTAGTGGTGGTAGTGGGGCTAATAACCACACCAGGCCGCCTTTGTCTCCCTAATGCTGACGGTCACACACCGAAGCAGGTACGTACCGATGTAAGGCTGAGCCGACACGGAGGAGGCCCGGGAAAGGTAAAAAAAGAATCATCAAGTTCCACCGATGTTAGCCATGACCGAGAATCGAACCCAGGCCGGCCGGGTTCGACGTGTCACGCGCGAACCAACCTGCCACCCCCACCTCCTAAACTTACACACTTGCACACAGAAGCGTGCACACGCGGTGGTGAAGACACTACCAGCACGAACTTTGACGCCTTTCAGTTGCGACGGCTCTCATAACGTGGCCAGTGACAAAGATTGCTCCTACATGAATCTGGGATCAGGATTCCGGGGCTCCCTACCCCCTCCCCATCTCCTCTCACCCCCCCATCTCCTCCCCCCTCCCCGGGCCCCATTGTTAAAACTGCAGACGGGGCGGCGAGCGTCAATTCAGTTCGCGAACTGCCCCCCCCCGTCCGAGCGGGTGGCGAGTTGGGGAGGGGGTGGGGGTGCTCGCAGTCTCGTCGGCGATGCGCCCCCGTGTGGCGGAGTATCCCGAGCGCCCACCTAGACCTGCTCATCGTCCTTTCCGCCCCCCCCCATCCACACGCGAACCGCCCCGAGGTCTGATGACGGATCGCACCGTTTGCCCATCGTCCCGGAGAACCGTCAGATTCACGGCCGCCATCAGCACGTGGGGTCCAGTCACCCTCCTTTCCGCCAGGTGTGTGATTGTTGAACTTCTTTCGCACCGTACGTAGCCAACCTTGCTAATCGGAGGTGCGGTGTTCCGCGTCAACCTGTAGTTGATATCGCCCAGGAACGCGGCTCTATTTCATTCGGCGAGGTCCTGCTGCAACCTGCGATGCTCGGCCAATCTCCAGACAACGAGCGTTTGACTGCACGTCGAGTGAACGCGGAGCACCTGGAGAGCCCCCACGGTGCGCACGAGGGGACAGCGCTCACAGCTCCGCCGCGAGACGCATGCGCGGGCTCCTCGCAAAGCGCTGGATCACGCATCACGCATGGCGGCGCGCAGGCGTGCGGATGAATCCACAGAAATCGATTACATCGCGGATCAACGGCGGCGGCGATGGCACCCGCAGCATGCGTGGCTGCCCCGGAGGGTCCGGATTTGCAGGCGACCCCAGTTTGAAACGGCTCGGTTTATCTTCGTGGCAGGTAGAACGATCTCCCGCAGCGGGGTTCCAAACCCACGGCCCATCAACCCATGTATCCTAATTAATGAGTAATTATCGCAATTAGCTCACGATCAAAAGAAAGCACGTGGGGGCCCCCTACCCCACACCTACGCCTGCGAACTCATTAACCCGGCCCACTGATTGCACGCGGGGCGTTGTGCAGCAGTCACCAATGACCCTCGCATGTGCGAGCACGCATGTGCGAGCACGCATGTGCGAGCACGCATGTGCGAGCACGCATGTGCGAGCACGCATGTGCGAGCACGCATGTGCGAGCACGCATGTGCGAGCACGCATGTGCGAGCACGCATGTGCGAGCACGCATGTGCGAGCACGCATGTGCGAGCACGCATGTGCGAGCACGCATGTGCGAGCACGCACGGCTCGTCCGGCCAACGACTCCACAGCTGTTACCGTGGAGCTCGTACGGCCGGGCGACGCGTCCCGGGATGTTCCGCGTGAGTGTCAAGCTTCGCGACTGAAGTAAAACTCTTTAACGTTAGCGGAGAGCCGTCGTTATGGCACTCCCAAGGACGTCTTTGATACCCCTTAGAAGAATGTGAACACAGGAGAGTGACTGGAAGCTGTTACGTCTTTTTTATTCTTCTTCCAATGAACCCGTTGAGAACTCGGGTGGGACAGCGCACGGCACGCAGCCTGCGCGTGGCTACAATGTGCCGCGCGGTTTGGGTCTTTGGGCCGCACTTTCCTCAACGCGAGCTGCGCATCGAGTTCCACATTCCTATGGACGGTGGATAAAATCGGGAACTCATTTGTCGCCAGCCAGCTCCGGCTCGGCAGCTTACCGCAGAGCTTACCAATCAGTCGCCACGTGTGTGCGGCGTGTCTGTGGGTGCATTTCCCTTTGAATGAAGCCATTAACACTCAATCACGGCGTTTATCTTGTGAGCAGGTGCGGTCTCTCGTCAGCAGCGGGGGGCGGGGGGGGGCTCTGTGCGCCAAGGACCCCCCGCAGCTGAGCACGTGGGGCCAGGGATTAACTGACCGACGTCGTGAGTTTTTGTCCGGAAAAGGAGCGGTGGGGCAGTTGTTAGCGCACGGCGCTACGAACATTCCCTTCCCGAATCCCACTCCCGGCCGCGGCGAACATCGGCGTCTCGTGGGAGCTGACGCTGCCTGGCGACTCACCCCGCCTCCCCTTTCGCCAAACCGCAGTGACCAGCCTGGTGACGGTGTATGGCAAAACCACCGCCATGGCCGACGTTGAATGGCCGGGCCTTCATCCAGCAGCGGATTGGCGAAGGCGAATGTGGATACATCAGTTGTGTTTGTTTGCTCCTAACTGCATTCCAGTGCCATAACACAAACCCATTTTCCATGGAGAACTCTCGCAGAAAGTAGCGCTTCACCTTTTGATGTCCTCTGCAACACAACGCGGAGCGACTGCCGATGACCCTTCTACCGCGAACGACTTCGTCATCCACACAGCGCGAGGGAGAAATGCGAGCGATGAACCAGAATGGCTGGAGAGACCCCAGGAATAGGAGGAACGCCCTGAAACGCTGCACATGGCCAAACCTACTTAGTGCACTGCCTCGTACACGAAGCACCTCTTGGGCGACAGATAAAAGGTGTCCTACTCACCGCGACACCAGAGCGCAGGGCCCACAGCAGACATTGGCACCGTCTAGATTTGAAGTTTTCGTGCAAGGATCCAGACTCTTTGGTTCTTTCGGTAAAGTCACGTAAGTAAAAAAAATGAAATCACGACGTGTTGCGTCCGAAACGTCGTGATTTATTTTTTTTTACCTACGTGACTTTACCGAAAGAACCAAAGAGTATTGGCACCGTCCCCAGTAATAAAACGAGGGTGGGGCACTTTGAACACATTCATCGAAAGGGCTAATACAAGGTAATTCGTATATCGTTGCGTTTGAAATGGTTGACACCCAAATACCATTCATGCTCACACCCTCTCTCAAGTCGGCCACTCCAGCTGGTACCAACAAGTGCGACATCTGGTCTAATACGCCGGGAGACGAAACAATCGACATCACGACCAGTCCGCGAAGAGAAATTAACACGCAAATTAATTACGAATGTTTTTATTCAGAATCGAGAGGCGCGCGGGGCGGGTGGCCTTGGGTAACAGCCAAAGTGGGAGTAACACAGACACCAAGATGAACACAGGGATCAATCAACTCGCAAGACGTGGGTGGCGGAGGGGGTCATTACGCCCCCCCCCCCCCCCCCCGCTTTAGTACCACCACGTGTGACAAAAGGCCAGCCAACCGGAGGTGGGGCACGAGCAGCAGGTGCATCACCTGCAGCACACCAAGTGAATGTCAGCGGCGTGGGCAGGTGGGAGGAGCGCCACAATGGATCCAACATCCATACAGCGGTCGAATTACCGGCGACGGAAAGTCTGCGCCGACTGCAAACTGCCGCTCGTTTAAAAGCTCCACCCGTGGCAATAATTACAAGTGCCACTTTGTCACAGGGCACTTTGCACCGAGGGCAGAATTCTGGAGCAACGATTACATAAACACCGGCGGTGTGTGGCAAGCGGCAAGGGAGGCCCCCCCGGTTATCGTGCAATTTGACTTCACCGAACATTCATCGTCGTCGTCGTCAACAACGCTCACCACCAACGTGTTAGGCAATCGGTGGCCGTGCTGGGAATTAACGCACAGCACGGCTGATTGTCGACGCAGAAAATATCACCAGCCATCTCCATGGCACGTGGTTACCACAGGGAAGGCAAGAGGTGAGCTGATCAGTGCAGCCATAGACCATTTTTTAACACGAATGTAGAAAAGTTACCCGAGCAGGAGCGAGGGGGTGCATTAATCGCACGCTCGGCACGGACGTGAACGCACAGCAGACTCCACAGATCACACACTCGCAGGACACGCACACAAACCTCACTCATGCCAGACAAAGTGTGTGCACAGTATACAGACATGTACACACGGGAGACATGGATCACTCCCCCACACGTGACTTTACCGAAAGACCCAAAGAGAACGGAAGAGTACTTTGGTAATAATCTGCATAAGGGTATAAACACTGACCTTCCAGTTTCTGCCCCAGTTCTTCTCAATAAACGAGAGTTTAACGATTTTAGAAATTATTTCAGAAGTTATAAGCGATGAAAAGTGAATAAAAAGCGGGGAGAAGCACGTGGGGGCTGGATGAAGCAGTGTTGGGGTTCTGGGTTGAGCTCTGACTGGCGAGCACGGTTAGGGATGGGGCTAGAGTTTCGGGTCTGATTGGCCAGTGTTAACACCTTGTAACAGTGTGCCATCCCAATGCCAAACGTGACAGTTACCAACTGGTGTTAGATTTAAATTATTTACCAACCCCGATTTGCTTGCAGGGTGGTCATTGTTCCTTTAAATGTGAATTTTGGTGAAATGGGGGAAATCGCAAATGTGTACATTTTTCGTCTCATCACGGTGAATTTAGTCCTACAGTGCAGCTCTGCCACCGTATACTTTCGCCAATTCGGGGCTCAAGCAGATTACGACACCTTTGACCCTTCCCTTGGTCACGGATGCACAATAGCGTTGGGGGCGCGGGGGATGCCGGATGGCCGTGGCAGCCGAGCTCGTGGGAGGTGGGACGCGCCGCGAGCCTCCCTCCACAATAACACTGCTCCCAAGCCCCCAATGAGTGGCGGGGCCGAGAGGGCTCAAGCGTTGCGCGTCCCCGCTCTTCCCCGCGGTGTTTCCAGTGGACAAACATTCAAGTTTCAGACGGGGTGTCTGCGGGCACGCGATCTCGCGGCCCACGAGCGATCCGGAACCGGATGGACTGACCCCTCTTTTCCCATAAACTCTCAGCCCCCCTCCCGTGTCTCCCGGAATGTTAATGTCTAAAGACAATCATTTTAATCCAAATAAAATATACAGTATTGTAGAAAATTAATTAAAAAAATTAAAAAGTTAGCGATTTGCTGGGGAATGGAAGATGCACAGGTGGCGGCCACCGGCGGGCGCAGCGGAGCGTGCGTGCTCGCGAGGGCACGGGCCGGCACGTGCGCTCAATCCGAGTCTTCGTCATCCAGGTAGTCGTCGTCTTGGCTGATCGTGCGCCCCGTGGTCACAGCTGCTCACGCACACAGACGGGCGTTCAATACACACAAAGCACACCGCAGTCATTCTTGAGAGATGCGAGCCGACGATCATGCAGCGAGTCGGAGAGCCCGCGTCACGTTTGTGTTCCCGATGCGCCATTGTGCTAGTCAGCTGTGGTCTCCTCTAACAACTGACACTGGTGCACAAGCACATGTAACAAAATCCTTGACACACGTGTCAATAACGCCGCGTGGCCTTCAAAGGAACTGTATATTACAGGTGACGTTCTTCACGGGCACCATCGTGAACAGGGAAATGCTCATTTGTGCTTGTTTCAAGCAGTGGGCACAAGCGTCAACGACCAAGCCACTGCACGTTATTTCATTTTCCCAACTTAAGTGCCCATCAATTGTCGCTGGACATTGGTGAAAATGAGAGGCAAAGGCTTTGGCATGCAGGTGAAGGAACAACCAAAGGAGGCCAAGAGTAACAAAACGACAGATTAATTTTCCACAACGTGCATCGACTGCGGACAGCAAATGCAGATTCTACAATCGTTTACTTTATAACCATGCGAGGGTCCAAAGAGACAAGAGTGTGTGAAGAGCATCAAGGGATTCAAGGAGAAGTTGTATGCTGCTGTGGGGAACCCTGTCAGCAAAGGGGGAGTATGGACATTTTAAAGTTTACTGTACTGTGTGCTATGCTCTAACTTCTAATATGCCCTCCTTCGCGGACCCCTGACTGACCAGGGTGGTGAGGTACTGTCAAGCAACCCGCTTGGGGTGTTGAGGACCTCATTCAGCAGTGGACAGACAAGAGGGCCGCACATATACACATGCACACGTGTGTTCCCCTCGAAATGTCCGGCGCGGGGCTCGGTACTGGCGCCGCGTGTGCAGTGGACTCGTGGCGTGCAGCAGCCGTACTGGAACGCCGCTTGAGCAGCGATGCACTCTGGGGGTCCGTGGCCATGTCCAGGGCCAGCTTCTTCTCGTTGTTGCGGACGTCTGTCAACGCACCTAGCGCGCGCACACACACACACACGTACAAAGGCAAGAATCTCCTGTTTAGACCGGCAGCGCAGATGTCATTAGCAAGCGCTTATTAAGGCTACACCAAGACAAAGATCCCCCTCCCCGTGTAGCCTTAACAGACTGTTGGGGCAAGTGCTGTTAGCGAGCAGCACCAATGAAGGCCGGCACGGCGCACCAAGGGGTGGGTGGCCAGCACCACACCAGATACTCATTTAGGGCTGGGTCGACCCAGGACTAGTTCAAACATACGCCACTTCTTGGTTGCGAGTGGGAAAATAAATCTGGTTGCCATGTGCGTAGCACAGAGCGCTGACCACTATGCCACCATATGTACACGTACGTACATACATCAAAATGAAAAATACAAGTTCAGCTATGTACATACACATCAATTCATATATGTAATTATTTAACCAGGTGAGAGCCTTTTTGGATGTATTATCGTTTCCAAAACATAATTGTGTATTAATTATGTTTTTGTCAAATTAGAAGTTTGGGCTATGACAGCCACATAATGCACTCCATGTGAGGATGACATCGCAGGATATGTTCGATGCCCACCCGGCAGCAGAGGATTAGAGCGGTAAATTACAGGACCGCTGCAGGGACTGAAATGCTGACTGAACAAATAGCTTCGGTGGGGAGCATGTGGAATGTTTTTGTATCCAGCTTCCTGAAAAGACGTCTTTTTATCTAAAGTATGACGCAACCCACAAAAGCCCGCTGCTTTTATCATGTAGATTCAACCCCAGGCCACGCATTTTAGAATGTCCGACAAGAATTCTAAGCTTCGTTAATGAGAAAATAGGCCGTAAAATTACTGTCAGATGCATCACTACGTCAATCATGACATCACTTCCATGTGTGCGTACGTCAATGCAGTAACGTCACGAAAGGGCCGTGTTGTTGCACCTGACATAGCATAGGTGTGCAGCAATATGGAGTGGTTTTGTTGGCTTAGCGGCGCCTTCTTTTAAACATTCCGTCACCAACGGGCATCTGCTCCGTTAAACAAAGCCTGGTTTACTCCAGTCCCGCAAGCATAGACAGCCGGACCGACACGCCAGGGAGGGGCACCTTTTGTGAGCAGCATCTCCACGATGTCCGGATAGCCCTTCCATGCAGCCGCGTGCAGGGTCGTGTCTCCCAACTTGTTCTGAAAGAAAATAATCGGGGTATCAAAAATCCCTCTTCCTGGCCATCCGCAGCCAACCCCATCCTCCTGTTCAAGTACCAGCTCAAGACTTTCTCTTCATCTCTGCCGACCAACCGCCTCTTTTCTACGAAACATCTTCATTCCCATATGCATCTCTGCCCCAGAGCCAAAACCACCCACCTCTCACTGCCCCCCCTCCATAATAATCGTAAAAAATTCCCATCTTCTCTCCCCAGTCCTCTTCGAGGCACATCTCTCTCCCTATTTGTGCGGAGGCTCGAGATGTGATCACATTGAGGTGCTTTATAAATACAAATTGTCTTGAGCCGCATGCGATAAAAAAGAAAGGTGAGGTGTTCTACAGCAACGAGGAAACGGCCACATTCACGGCCGTCGACCGCGGGCTCACCTGATGGTTCAGCTCGATGTTGGGGTGGCCGAGTAGAATCTCAACGACATCTGGAAGCGAAAACACAAACGGGAGGTGGGGGGGGGGGCAACGACGCGTCAGGAAGTCGGGCGGCCTCATTACGCTCAGGCAGAGAGCGGGCACGGAGAGCGGGCGGCGGCGGGGATACGGGCGGTGCGTGAGCTCATTGTGTCGTGCCCTACCCTTGTGGCCTCCGTGCGCCGCCCAGTAGATGGCCGTGTTGCCGGCCTTGTCGAGGCCATTGACGCTCACGCCATTGTCCAGGCACTCTCGCAGCCAGCTTACGTTTCCTGTCGCACGCAGGGACACAAGTGAAGGACGCCCCCTGTTAGCGATTAGCTGGGATAGGCAGTAGGGGGCCAGTCGTATGTCTGTGAAATATGCACGGGCGGAGCGGGAGTGAAGTGGTTAGCACACTACGCTACGAATCCAGCCACCCACAAGAGCCATATCAGCGGACATCCTCTAGGTTGACTCAGCCTTAAATTAGTACCTGGTGTGGTATATAAACACCAGAACTGGGGAAACAAAGGCTGCCGGGCATGGTGCTGGCCAGCCATCCCCGCGATTGCAGTACCCGCATTCATTCGTGATCTCGAACAGCACTTGCCCCAACAGTTTTACAGGCAAAATCCGGGGGATCTTTGTCTATGTTTTTGTCTGTGGGTGCATGTGAGTGCATCTGTGTGCGCGCATGTCCACGTGTGCCAGTGTGCCGCACCTCTCTTGGCAGCCTCCTGCAGGGGGTTGTCTATGGACTCCGCCTGCTCCGACACTGCGGGGGAAACGCACAGAGCACAGATCTCTTACACGGCTGCCAAGGCGGAGCCGGCGACCGCTGGCAACTCCGGCGTTGAGCTCAGCTCATCGTGCCAACACCAACTACCGCAACCGCCACACCGAAGCCTGAAACATCAGAATGCACTACGGTGACGCAGGACAAGGAGGGGACATGGGCGGTGGAACACGCGAGGGATGTGGGCAATGGCAGGATGGAATTACCGTAGTTGCTGGGCACGAGTCCAGAGCGGCCTTTGCAAGTCCCCTTCCACCAGTTGGGGTCACTCTGTATTTACAAACACAGACACATCGGCCAGCACTTTACACCACGAGAGGGACCACAACACTCCCAGTGTCACTTCAATCACTGGGGCCACTCAACACTACAATTAGCGCCAAGAGCTGCAGTTGGCGTGCATCATTCATGGAACGTTCACCTAAAAGAGTTAATTAACTTCAAAAGAACAATATTGGCGTAATGTCATAATTGAGAAATAAATAAACGTTTGAGGCATGGGCACCGATTGCAGTGATGCATTTGTATGGACCAAAGTCAGATGCTGATGAAATGTCCAAAATAAATTGCTTTTGGCGACCAAGCCCCATGTTTGTGATGGCGAAACCATCACGTTTTCATAAGAAATAAGACGACAACGCGTCCATTGGGCTCGAGCAGCTTGCGAGCAATGTCCTGGGCTGTGCAAGCAGAATGGGGATGTTGTGGCCCTCGGGAAGGGACGCACTGCCGGGCTCTCGGGCAGCCCTTCCATCCTGTCGAGTGCCAACACGTGTGCCCGCAAACCCACGTGAGCCCCGAGCACTCACAGTGTCTGTGACGTACAGGATGTCTCCTTCCTCAAAGTACAGCTCGTCGGGCTGAAACAAAAAAAAGTACACACACGAGGACATAGACTTCGAAAGCACCTTCAATAAGCACGGTTGACTACGTACGGTGCGAAAGAAGTTCAACATACATACATACATTTGTACACCAAACGATTGGTTGTTAATTTACTACTATGGGTCAAACTACAATATCCGCAAAGTAACTGCCAGGTTTAGACGACACGGGAAGTGCCGCATCGCTTTATTGCATGTATGTGTTTTGAATAATTTTATTACGTGCTTTATTTGCAGACTGCAGTAGGACGATTACGATGAAAAATAAGCACTGCTTCACTCATCTGCCCTGCCGGTTGCGCGCAAGGGCGGCTGTGCGCTTTGAGGTGGCTGGAGGCCATTTCGCCCCTTGCGGTGGTTTAACAAAACTCACAGAATGAGGCAGCCGTGCCAGTTTGTTTAATTTAGAGTTGTGCAACGTTTCCCCCCAAAGCAGAGATCTGTTAAAACCTCGGTAGGCCGCACTAACATGAGCAAGCCTTGCTCTGGCTAGCCAAAAAGTCTGGCTATCTGCTAAACAAATTTAAATGAATGTAAAAAATAAATAACCGTGCGTTACTGTGCAGTCTATGTATAGTATTAGTGTGAACGTACGAGTGTGTGTAGTATGTGCGTTATTGTACAGACCAACACAAAGTACTTGGGGTATGCTACGAGCTGTGTACTGTATTTACGTCCGTCAGTCCGAGGACACCCCCGTCTCCCCCTTCCCGATCACCCCCTCTCTGTCATCCAACCGTGAACATATTGCCAGAATTATTATTCCACTTCAACTGCATATTTTATGCATTGTGAACAATATAACATGTTCGAGCGTATTATACATTACATATTCTTAATTATATGGCATGTACGTTATTTTATTATATAAAAAATTTCTTGAATTTTTTGTAATAGTCGATCTGGTGTAGCTCATTGTGAAATCCAGCTAGCACGTGTCTGGCTCACCAGGGTTTTATTGTACAGGCACCCAAGAGCTAAAAACCAAACTCCAAGGCCTTTTGTTCACGCTGATACCAAGGCCTGGAGACCAAGTAGCGATGGTGCAAGCGAAGGCCGATAGCTGGTCCCCTCCAATAATCAACATTGACCCCCCTTAGCTAGGAATATTGTAGTTATGTCACTGTTCCCGGACATTAGTGGCTATTGTAATTTTTAAGGAAGAAGTCAGTTTTGAAAAAAAAATGTCACAGGCTCATATAAGGAATTGTTCCTCTTCCGCTCTTTTGTTAACTTGCACATGTTTGCCAAACAGATGGGCTCTGAGGCCCAAGAGTGAGCACAAGCGAAGGCCCCAGGGTAAGGACAGCTCAAGTATTTGGGGCTGGGTGTTGCATGCCAAAAACCCATCACTGCTCATGCGCACCCCATTACAGGACATTCCAGTTCATCTTATCTTTGGGCCAATGTTTCCACAAACCCATTCACCTAACCAATGAACTTCCACCACCACCACCGAGTTAATAACAATAACAACGAACTGGCAATGGACTGGCTGCTGATTGTAAGCTCACTGTCCTATGAACCCGGCGACCCACGTTCGATTCCCACGCACGATGCATAATAGCGGCGAAAATATGAACCAGTCCTGGGCCTCCCCTAAGCCAACTCCGCCTGAAACGAGTACTATTTATTGTGTGTAAACATCAACTCTGGGGACACAACATCAGCCGGGCATGGTACTGGCCATCTACCCCTTTGTGTGCCGTTCTGGCATGAACAGGTGCTCACTAACAGCACTTGTCCCAACAGTCTGTTAAGGCCAGCCAGGGGATCTTTGTCTTTGTTGTGTATTGTTAAATCTATTTGTTTCCAGTCTGCATGCATTTTACTATTGTGATGGGTTTTCTCATCATTTACTGAGAGAGTGGGATTTTACTTAACTGGCGTTGCACATGCGCTTACTCAGGTTGGTTCCTGGGACTATGAGGGGGGGGGGGCAACGGAGGAATGGCAGACCCCAAGCCGGGATAAAAATCGGAGGGAAAGGCACTCGAGAATGAAATTGGGATCAGCAGCGGTGGCGGCACCGCAGCCACGGTCGCCCGAGTGACGGCGCGGCCCGACCCGCGCACGCACCCGTTGGGCTGGTGTGCACAAACACCACCCGAGCCCGGCTTACTGTACCGCACAATGCCCCACTGGCGCGTGCGGAACAACGCAGGGGGAATTAACTGGACTCCGCGCCTGTTGCCCAAGTGAGTAGGCCTCGGTCTCCCGGTGCATGCTGGGCACAGCGAGTAATTCAGTCGGTCTAGAGAGTGACATCTAACCAACATCAACACAAGACATTCTTCTATGCACAATCCCCCAAGCGCCGCCGCCCCCCCCATTTCCTAGCTCTTGACAGCAGTTGTCAATTTGCTGCAGCCAGGAGGTCAGTAGCAATCCCTTTGGCCTCCTCCACCCATCAGATGCCCTAAGCAGAGTACCTGGTGGGCAGGGACAACCAATCATAAGCGAGAAACACGATGCCCAAAATTCCACAATCGGCATTCCAGTGTAATGCAAGTTGCAAGCCTCATCGTACTTTCCTAAAAACAGTCAGGCAGTCGCTAAGTTGATTAAAACGTTTGACAGTGTCAAGTGAGACTACTTGATCAGTTCTGCAGGACAGATATGTAGAATTCAAAGCTGGAGAAATTTACGTGGAACATAATAATATATTAGGAAGTTACAAGCTCTGGTTTGATCATCACTGACAGGACTTATGTCCTGCCCAACAGTACACGGTGTTCTGCCAAAATGGATCATGCCATGCCAGTCATGCCACATCGTGCCAAGCTTTGTTGTTTCTTGAGCTATGGTGGTGATGTCAGGTGATTTGACCCGTATTGTGGTAGGCGTATTATGATTTATATTTGATTTAGAGCCACTGGCTGTGTGCAGAGTCACAGTGTATCCAGCGCCATTCGCTGTGTGCCTTGTGCTGTGGCCTTACCGTCCTGGGTTCAAACGTGTAGAGCGCGCGGTACACCTTCACGACGCCTGCATGACACATCGCATAATCGTAACACCTGCCGTTAGCACAGCGTGCATATCGAGACACTCAATCACGTGCATGAAAATGAATTCATCACCGCCATCCCTCTGTGTATGAAAAAGTCAGACCATCTGAGTACGTCCAACACAGGTCTATTTGGAGCACACATCTCCATGTCAAGAAAAATTGCTGAGTAATTTTTTTTACCTGTTGTACATGCTGGATACAGTCGAAAATTATGTTTTGTCAATGCAATTAATCTTTAAGGGCAATTCCATGATTTCAGACGCATGTGTCTGGTACATAACAAATGTGGGTAATCATTGGCTTCATCATGAACTGGGGTTTTACCGCGGGCATCATTTGACACAGATAGATATGTCAACCTCTCGTGATAAGGCGGAACTTCTCATAAAATACAGTGGTGTCTGACACTGATAAACATTGTCATCCAAGCTGGGATGGTGATTGTGCATTCAGTTTCACGTAGGTGTTAAAGCATAAGTGCAAAAATAAGCTATATTTTCTAAAAGCTATACCATCAAAATAACACCCCATATTATTTTGAAATTCCGATTGTGGGGTTTCCTAATCTGTGAGACTGCTCGTGTGTGTGTTCCAAAGATTGGCGTTAATCAGTAATTTTCAGGCAGTTGCGTGGGAAAGTGGCCAGCACACTCGGTCTCTGTGCGGTGAGTTGAAAGTTTAAATCCCATCACCGCTAATTCCACTCGGGGAGTGGTGGCGCACCGGTTCACACACTGCGCTCAGAAACCTGTGGCATAAGTTGGATTTCGGGTCACAAACTGACATCAGTGGTGATATCTGAAAGGGGCCCTTAACCAGCCCATCTTCACAAATCTGCGCTGACCAGCGTGAGGCAAGATGAAACAACCCCCGTGACAGACAGGAGATGGGGAGGCTTTCATCCAGCAGTGGATTTACGTAGGGCTGACAATTAAATCCACTCATTCATTACCGGACAGGAAATAATTAGAGTACAGTAATGAATGAATGGAATAACCAAATGATACTGCCTGTTGTGAAGTGGACGTTACATAGGAAGTGGAGGTCAGAGTTTAAAACTATTGCCCAATACATTTTAAAACAATGACACTGCTTTGCAAGTATACCTACATTTCAAATGGACTCTAATTATTGTCATGTTGCAGGTAATCAGTCATTTACCCTAAACGTGAACCTAACTCTCGTGTCGTGTGTTTATACCAATATCATCATCATCTGCCTTCACTGCCAATGCCACTTGCATTATTGTACTGAGGCTAAGCGCTGCCACCAAAGCCGCATTCAATCGTGTAACGTCGCGTTACGTAACACGATTGCGGTGACCGCCAAAGCAGAATCATCAACTCTCGGGGTTTAACAAACCCATGGCGTCAGACACGCATTTCTTACAAAACGCGGTCAATTCTTGCCACTTCACATCCTGCATGGTGGCGGAGAGGGCCGCTTCGTCTCCTCGGCCACCCTGGCTCAGCGAGAGCGAACCATGGCAGGGGGTGAAGGGCAGCGTAGGGGGTGAAGGGCAGCGTAGGGGGTCAGGCAGGGCAAACAACAGAGGGCTGGCAGGACGGTGCGGTCAGAACAGAAGGTGGCGGGCAGGACGTGTCAATCGCAGGACGCGGAAAAGCGCGCCATGACCTTCTCTTACGAAAGCCATTCTGATGCAAACAATGAGCACTTAGGGCAGCAGTTGACCCGGGCTTTGAAAGGAACTCAATGGAGGAGCGCGCACAATCCCTGGCGTGCTGGCCCCAACGCTGAGCCCCGACAGCGCTGGAACGTGCCCACACCCCCCGGGTCCCCTGAGAGACAGGGGCCTCGGAGTTAACTCCCTGGGGATCGGGGAGGTGTTGCCCCATTCTGTCAGGGGCCCTGCCCTTCGCAGGCTTGGCATCATACAGCTGCCCCGCGCTGCCCTTCCCAGGGCCTCACTCCACTTCCTGCCCTTCGCAGGCTTGCCTCCCCCCACCGAACCTTCCTCCCCAAGGCCCCTGCCCCAGCTCAGGCCTCGCCCCAGACGCCGCCCGACCCCGCGAGCCCTGCCCCTGGCGGGCCGCGTCTCACCGGGCTTCGTGGGCTTGGGCGGCACGGGCTTCACGGACATCTTGCTGAGGCCTCCCGCGCCTTGGCCTCCTCCTCCTCCTCTTGCTGCTGCCGATAGACAGCAGAACACGGAAGTTTGGGCAGCACTCTGCGGTCCTTAGGTTCCCGGAGCACGCGCGGCAGGCGCTGTGAGTGACAGGGGGAGGCGGCGGCCCCGCGGGTCGCTGGCCGCGAGGGGGCGTGGCAGGCACTGAGAGTTCTCGATTTGAAGCTTTCGTGACTGCAAGGATTCATACTCTTAGTTCTTTCGGTAAAGTCACATAGGTAAAAAATGAAATTAATAAAAAATAAAAAAAATAAAATCACGGCGTTTCGGAGGCAACACAAGCTTCCGTCTTCAGGTGAAACTGTCACAGCAAAATATCTGTATCAAGTGAAGAGAAGTCCCAAGAGGTACGGACCTTATATAATGGTTAAGAACCAAAGAAGTATCGGCACTGTGAGTGACAGGGGGAGGCGGCGGCGGCCCCGCGGGTCGCTGGCCGCGAGGGGGCGTAGCAGGTACGGGTGGGGTCGGGGAGCGGTGGCGCAACGGTGAGGGCGTCTGCGCCGCCACGAGTGCGGGCCACCCGAGTTCTCGGATTCACGTTCATGGCCACCAACAACCGGTGCTGATTGATCTAAACTCGGTCCCGGGACTGGAGCGGTGTGTAAACGTCGCCAAAGGAGAGACAAAGGTTGCCGGGGCGTGGTACCGGCCACAACGCTACCTCGTTGTGCCGGGCCGGCCTTCACAAGTGCTCCTCTCACGCAACATGTCCCCAAGATAAAGGATTCACGTGGTTCGTTGTCTACACAATAATTTATTAACGGCCATAGAAGTCACCAACAACTCAGCACGTCCCTCAATGGCAATGCCTCTAAAGGGAAAAACATTTTTTTAATCTCACAGAAGTCGACATTTCGGGCAATGGTTCATTTTTATAGCACGTTTAATAATGCATGTGCCAAATGAAATACGGTATTCTATGTCATATAAGAAGTCAGCTACTTCAATAACATGAATTTCCCTGGTTTTATGATCTCTGCAAATATCTCTTTCCTCTCACTGGTTGACTCAACCTCGTCAACATTAATTGGCTGAAATCATTTTAAAATTTAAAAAAAATGTAGCAGCAGCAGGCGCCTCCTGAAGAGGTGTTTCACTCAGTGTGACATTCCTGGTAATTATTGTTACATCTTTAATTTATCAAAGATAATACAATTTTGTCAGAAGGCAGTTGCACTGGGTAAACACACAGCCACAGCTGACGCTATTTGCTTGGATTTATCATAAAAAAAAAGATTATGCTGCATTTTTCGTGAAATTCCATTCGAATCTTGCGCATGTCGGCAGCAACGTGGTTCAGGAGTTCGATGCCAGTTTCGAGGTCTGCTGGCCAATACGAGAGGGCTTCAGCAGAGGGCGTTCAAGACATGTTTCTCACCCTCCTCTGTTAAAGGGGCACAGGCTCGTGGGTTCGCTGTACAGTCCATAATTTGGGTTGCATGGCCACAAATTTTTTTTCCATTTATCAAGTTGAAATAATTCAGCGGAACAAGACTGTGTGAAACTTTTTTTTATTTCCGTTCATGAAATAGAAATAATTCAGTGGAACAGGGCTGTGTTGAAGGGTCAACACAATCTTAAATCAACTCTCCAAAATATGTCGAAAAAAAAAACGATTTCTAACATTCTACGAAAATATATTGAAGCGCAAGGCTGTTGCAGCAGGAACACCACTCAACCAAGAGCAGACTTACGTCTACTTTCCAGAATATAAACGTTAACCCAATCTATGGTGTCGACACCAATGAACGATGATTGACAGAGGGATCAATCTTACTCATTCGCGGTGCTCGACAGTTTATAGTAGAACACACGGGCGCATTTGTCCTTCATTTCCCGACACGAAGCAGGGTAAATGAGCGGACACATCTCTGTTAGTGTCCTGAACTCATGAGCCAGCGTTCTTGGCAGGGGCAATCCATTTGGAGAGGGTGTGTTTGGCATTCGTCAAGAACGCTGCCTTTAAAGGAAAAAAAACACATGAAACAAATATTATAACAGGTAACGTTTCAGACAGTGGGCCTTCTTCACAGCACACGATGTGTTGTACAAATAGAAGGGCCGTTGCCCGAAACGTCGCCCATGATGTATATTTACTTTTGACAGTGGCAGCTTTGAGAGTCCACCACTGCGAGAGGCGTTGCCCTCTGGACGTGACATCCATCACCCGAGCTCCTCCTCCTCCTGCTCCTCCCCAAAACTCCGCCTCTTCCCTTTCGCTTCTTCTTCCTCCTCGTCCGTCAAGATGGAAAGGCTGAGCGACATGAGTAGCTAACCCGAACCCCCGATCCCATCCCAAAACCCAGCCGCACACCCGCGCGTCAAACCATCACGCCACCGGCAGCTCCAGCAGCAGCAACAACATCAGCAACGCCATCGGCAAGCCGCCCGGCTCGGACATGCAGATCATCATCGGCATCGGAGGGTAACGAAATCCCGGAACTCGGCCACGTGGCCCCGGGGCCACCGGTCCCCGGTGCCCGCCCGTGGCGGCGCCTCGCCCGGGTCTCGCCGTGTGGCGGCACCCGCGTCTTGGGGGCACTGGGGCGAGGGGGGTTCGAGGAATCGAGGAGGAGGTTCGCCTCGGGCAGTGCCGGCCACGTGGGCAGGAGGCCGAGGCCCAGCGCATCGCGGCCACGTGGAGAGCAGTTGGGGCCGGCGAGAGAGACGGGAGAGAGTGCGCGATCTGTGGGGGCGCTTGGGAAAGAGAAGTGAACAGAATTCGGGGGTCGAGTGTTGTGTTTTGACGTGGCAAGTGGGTCGGCAGAGATGTTAGAGGGCAGGGAAAGGATGGGGGGGATACAGATTTTGGGGGGTAAGTAGAGACGGAGATAATTTTGGGGGTCCGGGAAGGAAAGGGATATATGATTTAATTTGGGGGGGTAAAATGTAACGCATATGCACAGGAGGTTGGCGGGCAGGAGAGAGTTTGATTGTGATGGGAGTTGTAGGAGGCGAACACATTTTGGGCGCACGGGGGGAGAGCGTCGTAGGGGGGGGGGGGCTGGAATACTTTAATAAATTAGTTTGTGCCGGGCACAAGAGACTTGTGTGTTAAGAGGGTCACCTTGAGGTGCCGGGGGGGGGGGCAGGGTGATTTTTGGGAGCGCAGATGGTGTCCTGGGTAGCGATTTTGGGGAGCGGGGTGCCAGGCTTGGTGTCAAGGTGTGACGAAGAGGGGAACAGAGTCCAGGGAACTGCTGTGGGGGGCTGAGTGGAGTGGGGGGCTGAGGGGAGTGGGGGGCGAGGCGAGTAGGGGGCGAGGCGGTGTCCACGCCTTTTTGCTTGTAGGTATTCTGCACCAAAGCAATAATGGCTTCAACGTGTCCGACCTAGATTTACACAGCACAGCTGGTTGTATATATATGCACACTACATTACATGTTAAGTCCGTCCTTTTGCGTAATCCACTGTGACATCCGACAACCTCCGTTACTGACGCTGCCGTACTCGCAGAACACGATGTACAGGGTGCTTCAAAAAATGTTAACACTTACATGGGACTGTCGTTTTTAATGGAAAAAGAACGAATAATACACGGCAACGTGATAACAAATGTCATGTTAATAGCTTCAAAAAGTCAAAGTCTCCGCTTGTTCGCCGTCGTTGTCAACGCGAATCTTCTCCAAGGGGTCGCCAGAGCTCGGAGGCGGCACATCCCTCGTGGCGTTGTTGCAAATTCTCAGGAGCGTTCGCGTGTTTTTGAAGCACCCTGTACAATAGACTGACGTTTCGGGCACGATGCCATCGTCAGAGCTGAGAAGGCAGAGACGTTAACGGACTTGTACCTATGGATGGAAACTGGCAATGTGGTTGGTGCCATGAAACACGAACTCCGATCTCACATCGGCAGTGATAATTATCGCGGGGTTTTATTTTCGCCCATTTGCACCACCACTGCAAATGCGGCCCCATTTATTTTCCAATTAATTGTAAAGAATTGTGGCAACTCGGTATCTTAAAAAAAAAAGGCGAGAGTCAAGTTTTAAACTCTTATTATGGGCGATAGCGCGTTGACTGGGTGATCGGTGCTGAATGATGGCCGTGATGTTTTACGATGGCGATGATTGTGGTGGTTGTTGTTGGTGGCGCTTGTCCTCAGGGTGACGAATGGGGGCAAGACGACTGTTACGAACCGCATCATCAAGAACTTGCCCAACTGCTGCGTGGTCTATCAGGACGACTTCTTCAAGGTAAACCGCACGAGGCACCTGCTGGGGCCACTCCCAGCGGCTAAAGTTCACCGGCAGAGAGCAGCGGGCGAGCGACTCGGGACGTGCGGCGTCCCGGATGTTTGTTTTGCGATCATTCACGTTGATGGTGGTGGTGGTGATGGGGAGGGGGCAGTTGGGGAGTGTTCCATTTTTGACGGCCAGGGTTGAGCCATTCAAAGGCGAGTCGCGGGGTGGCCGGAGCGTTGGATTGTCGCCGTGACGCGTGGCCCAGGAGGGCGGTGAAGCCGGGCAGCTGTCGGTGTCTTCGCGACTTGACGCTTTCCTCCGTGACGTGTCCTTTACAGCCCCAGGATCAGATCGAAGTTGGGGCCGATGGATTCAAACAGTACGATGGTGAGTGCAGCCGTCTGCAGCTGTCGCCGCCGCTGCAGCTGTTCCCCCCCCAGTATACAAACGCCCCACAAGCGCCCTTGTTGAGTGTTGAGACCAGACGTGTGTTTTAACACGAAGGCAAAGTGAAGTGTGTTCCCATATTCCATGGAGCATTGGGGTGTGTCCGGTTACCATCGGCCAGCATTGGAAGCGACACATTCCCATGGCAGGGGCCATTCTATTCCACCGGAGAGATGATGGCTCGAGTCGACTTGTAATGGTGATAAGAGTGCTGCTCTAACAGCACGGCAGTGGTGACACTGACTGGACCTTCTCGGCCATCTTCTGTTGAGGTTATCGCCATCAGCAGGCGTGTAACGATGTCCTCTTGAAAAACACATTCTTACGCACGTGATAAATATGTTGAATAATGCTCGTGGGAAGGTATTAATCCAAATGTCATGTCAATTTTTTGGTCAAATGAATGCGACCCGCAAAAATGAAACGGTACAGACGAGAAGAAAACAACAACAAACGGGACAAACAAGATAGACGTTACAGATGAGACCATGCAGGCAGTTCGTGAGAGATGGTACGAAGGAGACTGTACTGCGATAACAAATGAAACGATAACAAGATAAAAATAATCGATGGTTGAATTATTTTGTTACGTGCCTCAAAACGGGTGAAGTGTACGTCCCAACGCCGTGCTGCCCCCCCCCCTCGTGCTCCGCCCGCACCAGTGATCACAGCGCTGGACATGGAGGCCATGTTGAACACCGTGCACGCATGGCGCGACAACCCCATCAAATTTGCACGCTCGCACGGCGTGCCGCTCGCTCCATCAGCCGACAACGGCCTCGGGCCCTGCCCCTCGTCCGATCTGCACATCCTGATCGTCGAGGGCTTCCTGCTGTACACCCACAAGTACGCGTGCCTGCGCGCGCGCGTGCGTGCACACGGCTATCCGGGCGACCGGTTACGCATGCACGTGTGATGTCCAGGAGGTGCGATCGTGAGCATTGCTTTTTTTTCCCGCAGGCCTCTGATTGACATTTTCGATCAAAGCTATTTTATCTCCGTGCCGTACGAAGAATGCAAGAAGAGACGAAGGTAACGAATGCGGCTGGCATTGTGGACACTTGATAACCCGGCACACGTCAAGTTAAACCCCGAACGAGGAGGAGACGAGCGGCCTTTGAGCCACGTGGCGAGTGTGTGGCGTGAAGCGTGAGAACTCCCCCACGTGTGTTCCTGTGCCCCCGTGCCCTGCAGCCAAAGGAACTACACGGTGCCGGACCCACCGGGGTTGTTTGATGGACACGTGTGGCCCATGTACCTGAAACACCGCAAGCAGATGGAGGAGCTCAACCTTGACGTCGGTACGGTCCTGCAGTGAGCGGCGAAGAGATTGAATTTGGGACACACTTCGGAAAAACTAAAACTTTCGTCATCTAGCCTCATATTTGTGTCAATAAATGCTTTTGTAACTTTGCGTTGCATATTTTGTATATAAAAAGATGACCTTTATAACAAGACGAGAGCCATTTCACTCGTTGAAATATTCCAGTTCCAACAAGACGGTTCCATGCCTCCCACGTTCTGGTGCTCGCGCGCAGTGCACGTGGACGGGACTCTGTCGAAGAACGACGTGTTCGACGCAGTGTACGAGGGCATCAAGGAGAAGCTGGCGGAGTACATCGACGCCTGCCCCGTGATCGCAGGTTCGGGAAACCTGCGTTTACTTCCTCTACGGCTCCGTTGCCTGTGCGGCTATCGTTTGGTGCTCGCCAATTACAGGGAGGGCCAACTGGTGGCCGTCTGACAAGTGGCTAACGTGTTCCCTTGCTTTTTGTCCTGGCAGATATCATCTGAAAGAAATCCTCAAGCTTGGAGAAATGACGACGGTTTTACATCAACAAATACGAGTTGTTTTTCTTCCATTATGGGATGTCAATTAACACCAGGTTGTCTGGGAGCTATGTGTCTTTTTTTAAGTTAAAAGCCGTCGGGATAAATTTTTTTTGCACCAGTTGAGTGATTTTTTTTAACATCATGTTTTAATCTTGCGCAATAGCAAACCCGAAGGGCGTGACCCGTGAGAGTACGGCAGAAGGATGTTGTACGAGAGTGATACCTGGCTTAAAAGAAGCCGTGTCATGCTAAGGAGCCCAAGTATGAAAACATTATTTAAAATTGCAACTAAATAAGAAGACAGCTCTGCTGGTGGCAGATAAATAAAAAGTCCCAGTCTGAAATATTGTTTGGTGGGCTTTTTTTTTTGTGTGTGACTGCCAAACCAACCGCGGAAAAATACAAGCTCGTCAAATTCTGTGCGGCTGCGGTGCGATGGCAATGGATGGCCTGACAAGAATTGCAAAGCTACCGAAAGGATTAGGTGGTAGCGTTGTGGTGTAGCACTTTGCCGTAAGGCCAGCGCTGCACAGCGGAATGGTTGGGGTTACGCCGCAGCGTCAGCGGCGCGAGGGTGGCATTCTGCGCTATGAATAGCAGACGCCGCACACCATTCTGCATCTCCCAATATAGGCACCCCCACGTGTCGAGGCGTTTCCCCAAATACACAACACCACTGTCCAATGGTCACGCGCGTCTGCGCTTTGGGGACAGACAGTTTTAACAGAGAAGTGGGGGGGGGGGGGGGGGGGAATTTATGGACTGCAGGAAGCACACATTAAATAAGACGAGTATCTATTCATAATAGATTTTATTTGATTTATAAAATAATAAAATCTTGCATATTCATTATTTTGGAGGGGTTGATACATGTACAGCTATCGCTCGTGACCGCGTGACGCAGTGCGTCGCCTCGTGGAGGAGGGGCCCGGGTCTGGCTAACGAATTGGAAGCCGAGTGCCGTGCTGGCAAAAAATCATAATCTTTGGATTAAACATAAAATACACCTGCGTACAAGTACCCAAAGCCCTTTGAAGTCCGAGACGAGACAAACTACAAAAAATCATTTACTCAAGCACCTTCACAAATGCTTCCTTCCGTGTACATAATTGAAGATACCATTGATTTGGGAAGTGCCAACTGCCTCCTGATAAGCAAATCGGCAGATTCATTGCATCTGTTCCTTTCATAAAAGAAACTAGAGACATACGGGCAGCAGTGTGGACATTTACATTAAGGACATTACACCAGTTACTTTAAAAAATATATTTGTTCATAAACACCGTCGTGTTGTAGCGTGGTGGTTCCGCTTCAGGTTAGCAGCTTGAGTTTTGTCTGGACAAGTGGGATCTGTCGTCAAGTATTAGCAACACGTCCCTCTCGCAATCGAAATAGGGCGGACCGTTGGGTGCGTCGACACCTTTGCCAATCGGTGGCAACTCCCGCATAAATACGAAGAACAAAGCTACAAAAATAAAGTCACTTGTGCAAACGGACAGCGCGCTCGGTATCGAGGTCGCAAGGGCGCGATTTGCTCTCCGCGAGCAAGGGGGGGGGAGGCGTTGCGAACGGCACTGGATGCTCGGGCTCGGCGCAAGAGGATCCAAGTGACGCAGAGCAAGTGCGCGGGACTGTCAGTGGAGAGCGACTCCGCGAGACGCTGTACGTCACGCGGCGATAAAAAAAAACGTGCCGGAGAGATGTGCGCAGCACATTCTCGTACGCGAGCAGAACACATGCCAATACATCCGGTTAACTGAAACCCTGCCAGCGGTGGCTCCGAACCAGTCCCACCGACACAATCCGAAGGCAGCATTTTTAACGACCCCTCTCGCGTCGGGACTCAATTTTGTGCCTCGCTTCTCGCCACGATAAAAGCAGTGGAGCCCCGTGCCCAGCAGCTGGGATGACTCCAACTGCACGGGAGCCCTTTCAATTTGGTTCACATGATTAAGCACAACCGCACTCGAGGAAACCTGTGATTGCGACATGCAGAGTACTTCACACGGCGACACGCACGATTCAAAAATATAAATACACGTCTTTGTCGTCACACACTCGAATTGCGTTATAACTTGCGGGCGAGACAATGGCGGAGACTGGCCAGTGAGTGAAAGCGCCGCCAGGAATGTACCGTCGCAATGAATGTACCTCTGTTACGTACCATATGGAAGTTCGTGCAAGTGCCCGTGACGCGCGGGGCGGCTAGAACAAGGAGGGCGGCGCTCTATCTACAGTGGATGGTTTCTCCCAGTTGCCCCTACCCCGCCGCAAACCCCTCGTCCCGATTTATTGCTGCTATTTTGCTCCCTTACGATTCCACCTTCCTCGCTACCGCAGCGCCGGCTCGAGCTTGTGCAGCTGCTGGAGCCCTCGCTGCGGGTACCTTTACCGCCGGTAGCACCGTGGAATCGTGCGCCGAACCCAGAACAAAGTGACCAAACGAGAACACTTTCAACACGAGACGCGGCGTCGCCTGCAAGCAGACTCGACGTTCGCACATCGTCGGCCCACGCGCCTCCCTGCGTAGTCCACGTCGCCCGTCTTCACGCGTCAGAGGAGGCTGCCTGGGAGACGCCAATGTTGGACGGAGTATATTCGTTGCGCTTCAGATCTGCACGCAACAGTGGAAGCATAACGGGCACACGCATGAAGTGAGCTCCGAGAACACGAACGGCATTGCGTCGCCGCTTTCTTTAGGCGTGTTACGATTTAGCCCCCAGAGGTCTGGTGAGATATCATGACTCAGGCTGGAAATTCCAATTGATAATGAATTCTTGTTTGTATTGCGTCTCGATTGTGCCGAATCATTCATACAAATTCGAGTGTTCCATCAGCTTTCTAGAACAACACATCATAGCAAGCATGGTACAGTATTTCTAAATGCATTGAGATAAGGAACAAAGTTAACACGTTTGTCAATTACAGGAAAATAATATAGGTGATGTGTCAGGAAATTGCCCTTCTTCACAGCACATAGAGGGTCAGAGAGGTAAGATCCTAAGGGTTTTGTGTGTGCATGTCAGTATGCATATTTATAATTACAACCAAAACTAATTTCACCAACCCTACCAGTGTGAATTATTTAAAATGTATAGCTACCACTTTGAATTAAAATAGCAATCAGGTTGTAATACGCAGTTGACCTGATCTGTGTGTATTTTAACGAAGGGCGACACCACCAGAGTGCACGACGCCACCCAGACACGGAGGTGGGTGCGGTGCGTGCGGTGCGTGCGGTGCGTGCGCTGCGTGCGGTGCGTGCGGTGCGCGAGTGCTGACCGGGCAGCTTGAGCTTCCGACAACACGAGTTGCAGGGGTGTTTGACGCGGAAGTTCTTGATGGCGTCCTCGCCAAGGTTCGCCGGTCCAAACACCATGTCATGGGACCTGACCCCAAGGTGCGACCGCACGTTCACGTGAGTCACGCAACAGAACACGACCCCCGCTCTCGCGCGGAGTTACGGCAGCGTCGTTAAACTTTAAGACCAACCATAATATCGGTTGGCATCTTCACATCGACGCTTACAGCGCCTGGCACCGGAGTCTCATTTTGATTTCGTAATTTACAAATCATGAGCAAACATTACCTCTTCTCTCCAGCCTTGATTACAGAAGGGTCAGTCAAAATCTCCCCCACACCTGAAAAACAACCAAAGTAGTCAGCATGGTACCATGTGAGTATCAAGTGTAGGCACCATGTCACGTTTTTCCAGCCATTGAAGGCTCAAGCAGAGCGATTTTGAAAAAATCTATCAATATGGATGTAAGAGTTAGCAGTTAAGGAAAACCAATTTTGGGTGATTACAGGTGGAAACTGAGCCAAAGTAGCATAAGGTAGAAACGGTTACCTATTCCCACAATGCATTGTGAGAAACTGCCTTTAAGCACTCACGAGTGTGTACCGCCACTGCGGGTGCACGCTTTCTGCACGTAGCACGTTAGGAATTATATTCACACCGCCGCATTACCAGGATTCGTCGCTTCGCTTTGCGACACCGATTATTGAGGATGGCGCGTTGCAAATAACGACCAGCAAGACGGATGGACACGCGTGCAAGTTACCCTGCAGATCGAGGACGAGCAGCTCGCCGCGGGTGTACTCGTACGTCCAGTGCGAGAAGGCGAGCAGGCTCTCCTCCAGCAGGTTGGCCGCCTGGCCCTCTTCACCCGTGTTGTTGTTGAACTTGCGGAACTCGCCGTTCACAAACTCCTCGATGGCGAACCACTGGCCCGCCGCGTGGCAGTACAGCAAAAACACCTCCAGGAACCTGCGCACAGGAGGAGGTGGTCGCGCGGGAAGGTCGCTTACGCTCATGGGGCTTCGACGTCGATCATAACCGCCACGCATGAATGCAAACTTGGGGTTGGTGAGCGAGCGAGCGCGCGCTCGCAGGTCCGCACTAACTGGAAGGGTACGTGCGAATAGGAGCAACAGACGCGTGCTCATTAAATTTGTCTGTTGGTTTACTTTTCAAAAGTGAAAATGTCAAAACCGGGCGAAACGGACACGGGAGTGAAGCGCTCTGACCTGGGCGAATACGGGATCGACTTCGGCTTCATCATGTTGAAAGTGAAGAGGAGCTTCTGCGCGGCTCGCTGCTGCTGGATCTCCTGCGTCGCAAGGACACGTGGCACAAGGGACACAAGCGCGCTTGCACGAGACGCCACTGCCGCCAGGAAGTGGGGTGGGGGAGGACCGAACCGTTCGCGTGCGTGTGTGCACGCACACCTAACCTCACCCTAAGACAAAGGTGCAGAATGGTGTCCTCGCGGTAGACGGCCTGCCACGTCTTCACGACGTCCGGCAGGAAGGACTTCAGGATGTAGATCTGGCCCTGCCGCAGGATGCCTCCCTCCTCCGCCCACGTGCACAGCACCTTCATGGGGGGGAGGGAGGCAGCAGCGGAGGCGGGTGAGGAAGGCGATTACAACGTCAACCTCAACGCCAACACCGCCAGCATCACCACCACTACAACCACCACCGTCGCCACCACCACCGTCATCACCACCACCACCGCAGCCACAGCCGCCACTGTGGTTCCTTGCGTTTTTTAAAATCACAATGCTCAACCCTACTCGCATGACCATTCATCGGTTTATAAATTAACAAGACAGAGCATTTGAAACAGGAAAGAATCCATTCTCTCGTTCCGTGACATGGAATTGTGATAATTTATGGATCATGGAACATTAATTCCAGGACGGGTACAAAAACCTCAGGTCTCTCTCCTGGTGCAAGAATGAACCTCACAGGGGGCCCCAACTTGGTTGAGTAATCAAGAATTAACTACAATAAAAGTCAGGGCTGGTAGTTGGGGAGTGGGTGTCGGCAGTCAGAGGGATCGGCCACCTTCATGGCCTTGCGCAGGCCGCCCCCCATCTCCTCGGTGGAGAGGAACTCGAGGCGCGAGCTGCTGCCACGCTGGGACCAGGAGGACATGCTGTTGCTCATGTTGCCCGGGGAGCTCTCCTCCAGCCGGTACACCGTCACCAGGTCGCCTGTGCCACAGCGAGCAATGGCACCAGGCATTCGCGATACGCACGGACGCACTCGTGCACACACACGGACCCATTTACACATACACAAACACACAGAGCCACTCGCACACACACGTGCATTCATCTACACACATGGATCCACTCACATTCCCATTTACAAACGCACATGGAGTCACTCGCACACACGGGCCCACTCGCACACATCCACAGACCCACTTACACATACATGGAACCACCCACATACACAGACCCATTACACAGACACACACAAAACACAGACCACTTGACGCACACAGACCCATTTATACACACATGGACCCATTCACACGGACACAAACTCATGTGTGGTTCTACTCATATGTTTATATTCAAGTAAACAATCTTGACTTGAAGCTTTCGTGACTGCAGGAATCCATACTCTTTGGTTCTTTCGGTAAAGTCACGTAGATAGAACATTAATAGATCACGACGTTTCGATCGCAACACAAGCAACCGTCATCAGGTGAGACAAACAGCAGGAGAACTGCTGTTCTCCTGCTGCAGTTCTCCTGCTGTGTTTGTCTCACCTGATGACGGTTGCTTGTGTTGCGATCGAAACGTCGTGATCTATTAATGTTCTATCTACGTGACTTAACCGAAAGAACCAAAGAGTATGGATTCAAGTAAACAGTTTTAAGAGAGGTAAGGTCCTAAAAACCAGTGATGGAGAATTCACATTCCTACGGTGGGAACATCTATATCCAAATATGAAATGTAATCTGTTCGTGGTATGAACAGCTGGGCAGTGTTTACATGCATCCTCATAACAACATACCTCTGTGCTGAATCGGCGCAAAGGGGATGGTCTGAGCAAGCCTCATCAAGTTGTTCCTTTCCATTGCTGGAACAAACAAAAACACACACACGCTCGTGGTTACCACATCACTCATGGGCAGGGCCCGTGCATGTGACACATCCCGGCCAAACAAAGTAACGGGGGGGACGTGGCCACCCTGCCACCAATCCTAGGTGGTGGCTCCCATTGTAAATGCCTGGCGACATGCACACAATCCACCAGACGAAGTTTCAAAATACAGATTTATACTTCCCTTCAAAGAACCACAGACGCCATTGTAACTTAAAAAGGAACACGGGATTCCACAAAGCAAATCAATTGAAACGACAGGGATCCCATCGTCGTGGTACGTGTAAGGAAAGCGAGGTTCACCCGAGTAGCTGCTGTCCAGTGACGACTTGTATGGGGAGACGATGCCTACGAACGGTGAAGGAGACACGAGACAAACAGGCGACATTCACGCACAATAAAGCACTGCGAACTAGCGCACTGTCACACAGGCCGACCGCCACGCCAGTCGGCCTAGCGGTCAGATCGCTCACCGACGAGCCCCTCCGTGTGGAGTTGGCAGTTCCAATTCCCGTAACAGGCGCACGGCGATTTCGGTGAGGAATCGCCGAGATGTATCGTGGAGGTCAGAGCGTTCATCTGCGGCTTCGTTTGCGCGAGCGGGCCAACGCGGGGCCTGTGTCACAGTCCAAGTGATAAACCTGTCCTCCGTCCTGTGGAGGCAACGGTTTGCAGGACGGAGCTGTCAAAAGTGCTGGGCCCCTCGTCCCCTTGGGCAGGAGCCCAGTGAGCGTGCACGTGGGAAGGCAGTCCACGGCGGTCGTGAAATACGACCTGGCTGGCAACGTTTTGCCAATGTCATCACGTAAAAACAAAGACACATCCACGTCTTTTACAACGAAAGCACAGCCCCACGTGATGATGCGGCCTCCCCTTTACTGCTGCACATCGGGTTATGTCAGACCGAGCCTACGTTGCCACCCTCACTACCGCCTCCATCTATTCCACTGGAAACAACGAGGCCAATTAATTCGTCGGCGGCCAGTCTCTGATTGGTGGGGGATTTCCTGCATTTAGCTTCCACGTTGATGCCAGGAGGCGCATTGGGCCGAGTTCCCGTGTCTGTGCCGAGGCAATTCCTGCCAGCTTTTAGTGGACAACTGTCAAGCGTCGGTGGGAAAATCACAGCGATTGTATGCTAACTGATTCTGCCCAAGTTTTCCTGACAGAAAATCTGTAAAAAGGTAGGTTTTTTTAAACTAAAAACAAGAATGAGGCCCAGAATTGCTCAGTAGTTGGTTTCCAAATACTTTTGTTTGAGGATAAGCACAGTTTATCGATTGAAAGTTTTTCAACAGAATCGATAGGATAGATAATTTACATGTCCTTTAAAAAAAAAACTACAAAATCCACATCCAACTCATGACCAGCATATAAGTGAGCTAAATGTGACAGACAGCCAATATCACAGACAGCTCCCAATTCAAGGTCCTACTGTTAAAACGACACGCACATCGATGTGCGCCAATGTCAGTACGCTGTTACGTATGGCAAGTTACTCACGTGGATGAAAATAGGGCTATTTTGGTGATTAGTCCAACTTGTAAAATGAACACTGCGTAGCGTGCCATTGATAAAGAACAGCTGCTGTGTAACTTGAAGAGCAGTTGCGTGATGCCTCGTGAATTGTGTAGAAAAAAAAACGGCCCTAACCTTTAAACTACAGGCTGGACATGTCCCCGCATGTCCGCATGTCCGACCGTGAGCAGGAGGAGCTACTCACTTACCCCCTCCCCCGCACCGCCCCCCTCCCCTCCTTTACCTTCCAACTTGCGGGGGCGGCTGAGCTCACGCGACACCGACTGCATGCCGCTCTGCAGGCTCTCGCAAATCGCTGGGGAGCAGATATGCAGCAGAAATCAGCAGCGGCAGCAGCGGCGGCAGTCACCAGATTTACTCCTCGCGTTGAACCCCGCTGGCCCGCGGGGGGCGACACGACGCACGGAGTTTGTCTCATTCGGCTCATGGCCACATGGATGCCTATTGCTTCAAAGCGGCCGGCCAATTATATTTTATCCGTCACCAAAAGCATCTTAGCTGTGCTCATCGGGCACGAGAGTGGAACGATTTGACCTGGCATCAGCACGCGGGTTTCTAAATTTAGAGCGACCAGTATCCCACGTCAATGCAAGGGCCGTTTTTCGTGAAGACAAGCGATCTGTGCGTTCATGTGCGGTTACCGACTGAAGGTATGTGAACCCACTATTTGGCCCGAGGTTAGGAGAATGTTCCCCACCCGTGATTTGCATGCACTGTCACGCCACGCACGCCAAGGCGCTTGCTGCCTTACACAGTGCATCGAGAGAATCAAGGGCTGATAACTCGTGACCAATAACGTATCACAAACAAATGTCACACTTTCACTTGCATGGAAATATGATTGACTGATACATTAATATTGTAAATATGTTTTCATGCATACATATTATACATAGAAAATCACAATAAGATGTATCATGGTGATATGCTCGACACTGTTGATATAGTGTACTACGGTAAAACACACCTGCTTTGGAGGCACTTAGTCTGGAAATGAAACAGAACACAAACCCTCAATTAGCAATGCTCCGGCCGACTCAACACGATCAAGAGACTCGCTGCAGCTGTCACATGCTACACTTCGTTGACGGGGTGATTGCATCAACTACCCAGGAACGAGTCTGCTCTCTGGACAGGAGGCAAGGATCTTCACGACGCCACGTGAAAAGTTCGTTTAGTCTGCGATTGAATTCGCTTCTCAAACCAGGCAAAAATTGGCTGTCAGAAAATGAGTCGAGGTGTCTCATCTTGCTAGAACGAGCATGGCGTGGCGCTCATCTCTGTTGCCAGTTGTCTGCAAGTTGCCGAAATTCCACATTTCCCTGGCGAGAGCTAGTCTCTTATTACCACAACAGCAGTTGGGTTCCTGGAAAGTGCCACTCATTCTCTTCGCACTGCGAGGTCGGCGACCCTCGACCGGAATGAGAAAAAAAAAACGGCGTTGTCATTGCGAGCTGAGTGTTATGACCACGGCACAATCCGCCCGGATAAACTCCGCTCGAATCGAGCATGACCCTACTTGTTCATCGTTGTAGTTTGCTCTTATGTTTAGGGCTTAGGTAACCCTAACTCTAGAAGGTCTGTCACTTCCAGTCGGGTCCCTTACATGTAAACCCACTCTGCTTGAGCATGTGCTGCTCAGCCAGCCTTTCCATCACTCCCCCTCCACACCCGTCCCTCCTCCTTCTTCACGTCTCGACGCTATTTATTTTAAAATCAGTTCCACCCCCTGGTTGGGGGTGAAGGGAGGGCGAGCGAGAGGAGGGGGAGCGTGCGAGGGGAGGGCGAGCGTGCGAGGGGAGCGTGTGAAGGTGCGAGGCCATACCCGGTCACTGGCCCCTCCGCCTGTGGTCTGGTCGCCGCCTCCGAGTCGTCCTGCCACTCCTAGGTGACACACGGACACCACCATGCCATCACTCACACCATCACTAACTCTGCTGCACCATCACCAACATCATAGCTGGTCTGTGCGGGCTGGTGTGGAGGTAAAGATGTGGGAGCACAGAAGTACACCGCAACAGCGGCATTTTGCTGCACTGCCCTCGACTGTCTGCCGTGCAGCCCGGCAGTCTAAAACATGGCAGTTACAACGCACGGTGGTCGCCCATCCACGCACTAACCAGGCTCAAACTCGCTTAGCTTCCGAGACCTGACGCAGATCAGGCGCGTAGCGAGCGATTTGGCCGTAGATGTGGGAAATATGCGGGAAGAGGAACCGACAGAACCGATCCGGGCACCAACAGCGAAGTGAAACACGGCCACATCTGAACACGCCAGCGTCGTCTCAATAGAGGCTCTGGTGGTGCACGTGCCTGTGTCGAGGGCAGGGTTACCTGCAAGAGAGGCACGCGGGAGTTCTCCTTTAAAAAGGTGAACGGGCCAGAATGGGTGCCCATCAGGTCGGGGCTCAGGCTCGATGCTGCAGGGCGCAGAGAGAGGAGAGTTAATCTTTCAACAAATCAACTCGATGGATGACCCAAGTGAAAATATGTTTCATCACGACTAGCCACGGTCAACGCTGGATGAAAACCGACCCAAGCCGCCGCCGTCTCTCACGATTCAATCCACGTGGCGCCTGCACACGAACAGACTTCATCACTGCGTCTGCACGCTGGACCTCCGCTGGGGTGCGTTCGTCCCTGTGGTTGTCGTTATTCTAGACCATCGATCATCATGCCTTACAGCGACGCGTCCTGTCAAAGCCCACTGACTTTTATTAACAGACAATAATGTCAATGATGAATGTCTATAATGTCAATATGTCTCTACATAGTTTATGTTCGATAATCCATGTGTTGATTTTTTGTCTCTCAGTAAAGTATAAAAGTATTTCACATTTATTCTATTACACTCCAACTGAGCATGCATCAGGAGTACGTGTCTAATAATCTGAAGATTGTGATGATATCATTCCCGGTGGCGGGATGACTCAGCCGACCATCCCTGCAAAGTGTATAAAATGAATACTGCTTTGTGAAAAGCTAACAGCTTTCCATTGGAGACGCGGAGTGGTGATGATGATGGTGAGCACGGGTGAGAGCAGGTGACTCCTGGACATCTGTGAAAAAGAGCTTTGCAGCCCATCGGATTCCTCCAGTATGAATAAATATTCCGATTGATTCCGAAGCTTCCAGGGCCCCCCGCTCGTGGGAGCGCGACTCACGCGTTGCCGACGCTGGCGGAGGTGCCGCTCCGGCCTGCCGCTCCGTCCCGGCGCCCGACGCCGCGGCAGCGGGATTCTCGAGCCCAGGCCCCGTCTCATCACCACCGGTCGCCTCCTACACACAATCGTGCGGCACAGGATCACGAAGTCCACTCGAGTGTCATCCATTTTAGGGCAACCGTCACCGGCGACGCGTTTACCCCCGGGCAACTTGCGCAGCAAGTTCTGTCTTGTTAAGCAAAGGAAAAAGGGTAAGGCTACTGCCGATGGAGAAGCTTGGTCTAAACTTACCCTCGTGTAGGACTAAATTTCTCACTGCAATAGGTTCGCCACAGCCATTGCAGGAGGTACACTGGATGCGGTGTGCACTATCATTGTGGAATTAAGGCCCCATTGTTCTTCATCTGTCGTATGGCTGATGGAGATGCAGAGCAATAACTACAATTTCACATTCAGGTGGTCAAGCCAGGCCCCATTAATGTGGCACAAACGGAGGGGGGAGGACGCGTGCGGTGGGTGGGAAGGCGGCGGCCGCCCGGGACCGACCTGCGCCTCGGCGGGCTTGACGTCTGTGACATCGACGCACTCCTCGAACCTGGCCTGCCTCTGCAGGCTCACCCTCCTCGAGTCGGCGGCCGGACCTGCAGCGCAGAGCACGGGGCCGTGCAAGCGTGCGGCGGAGCGACGGTTACAAACACGGTCAACCGATGCAAACGGCTGACAAGTTAAGACGGAGCGTCGTTAAATTGCAATGCACGGATCAAATGCAGGATTTATGTGGAAGCCGGCGCAAGTGACGATCAAGGTTCTGTCCTGTGACCTCAACCCCTCATTGGCACCTGACCCATGTGTCTCCAAACCTTCAGCAAAAAAAAATCACCAATCTGTTTGTTTTGTTTAAAATAACATTACGAGATGTAAAGATTGTTAACCGCAGCACCAACGAAAATAACCGTGAAATTTAACATCCTGTAAAAATCTCAACCAACAGTTGTTAGGCATGTGCTTGTTTTGTGAAAAAACATATCATCCAAAGCAGCGTCGCGTCATCGAGAACAATGTGAAACTTCAGCACCAAATTATTAAATACCATGTTATTCGTAAATACGGAAGAAAATCATCAAGACATTGTTAGCAGCTCATTTTCTCATCTCCGTTCCACAAATCGTCGTCGCATAGAGCGTAAGCGGGAAGGCAGAGCGCAGAGCGGTGACAGGGAGGGGGTCATGCCAGGAGGGGGCGGTGGTGGGGCAGGGAAACAGCTGAGGGTGCACGGGAGGAGGTTCTGATCCGGCGTTATTAGACAACGAGAGACGTGTGTTGGTTGACGCAAACCTTTGGCCTTTCTCGACCTCGAGTGTTCATTATTCATCCCTGCCCCATGTTCGACTGGCAGCGCCAACGTGTGCATCTTCACGGCCTCCCCTTGCTCAGTCGGACTCCTCAGCCGCTCCGGCCGCTGGAGGCCGCCCCCGGGCACCGTCCCCGCCCCCGTCCGCTCCCGTGGGCTCTCGTCGGACGCCTGCGAGCCTTGGCTGGCGGCCGCCAGCGTGAGACGGTTCTTCACCTCGACGAGCAGGCCTTCCGTCTTGTAGACGTTCACGGCCGGCCCCGCTGTGATCACCGGCCAGGGCGCCTTGCTGCGGCCGCACCCGCACACTTCGTCCCCCTCGGGCCGTGAAAATGCGCGGTTCACGTAGCCCCCCGGGGGGTCCTCGCTGTCTTCGCTGCGGTGAATCTGCACGGATCCCAGGCTCCCGGGGGAGTTGTCCCACGGGAGGAACTTACCCTGGGTCCGGCGGCCGAAGAAGGACGAAAACTTCCAGCGTTCGCTGCGGTTGCTCTTGCTCGTCGCTTTCCCCTGCTGGGGGATGGAATTGGTGGCCGACAGCTGCTGCTCCCGCATTAGCGGGGCCGTGCTGCTGCTCATGAAGCTAGGCATGGATGACACGTTACTACGCGGGGAGGCCAAGCCGCCGCCCGGCTGGGCCTGCTGAGACACGCTGGGCAGGGGCAAGGACAGCTGCCGGTGTTTGCTAGCGGTAAGGCTACTGGGGTACGCAGGCTGGCTGGAAGGCAGGGATGAGAACGGGGACAGCTGACGGGGAGTTAGTATCAGCGGCAAAGCGTTGCAAGCCAGCGTACCTGATGGGGTGTCCTTCTCGTGAGACAGCGAGCGCTGCCAGCCGAACCTGGCCGGGCCGCGCCTCCTCAGAGACGAGAACCGCTGGAAGAAATCCTGGTCGGCCAGCGACGCCCTCCCGCTGCCTCCGTCCCCGGACTCGATGCCCAGCTCCATCCTAATGTCCCTCAGCTCCTCCCTGCGCCCCACGGAGTCCTTCCGACGGGCGCCCGTCCTGACCCACTCGGCCGCCGTCTCCCCCGCCGCCGGCCCCTTGGATCCCCCTGGCGTGAAGTCAGAGCCCCGCACGGAGCGGCGGCCTTGCACGCCGCTGTACCAGAATGCCGGCGGAGAGCTGGAGTGGAAGTGGGGACGGCTGTCGGCCCTGGCGCTGGCGGGATGGCCGGGGGGCGTAAGCTGCCGGTTCGAATGCGCCCCAATGCTGTGGGGGGCCTGGCGGGAGATGGCGGGGTCCGTGTCGCGGTCCAGGGCCGAGAGGACGCGTAACGTGTCCACGGTGAGGGCTGACAGGTCCTGCAGGTGGCCGAGCTGCGTGTCCAGGCTATGCAGGCTCTGCTTGATACAATAGACGCGCTCGCTCACCTCGCGCAGCTGGAGGGACATGCCCTCCACCCTGTGGGCGGAGCACGTGGGAGCGGGGGGGCGGAGTGCACGGGAGAGCGAGAGGGCGACGACACAGGTGAAAATAATAACACGACAGATCGAGACTTTTATACAAACCCACAGCATTGATTCAAGAGTAAAATACTTCATGAGTAACAAGGTCAGATCCACTTAAAATCGACTTTTTCTTAAACATAACCTCGAAAAAATAAAAAAACGACGTGAAATATTTCATGTAATTGAATGTGAATCCGTGTCGATACTTCACGTGGCCTCAACGTGCACATAGCCTGGCACAAGCGTCGTGGTGACGTCACCGACGCTTCGTGGTGAATGGCGGTTGTTGTTGCAAAGGACGTTATGTACCTTAAGCACGGAACGTGATTAAGAATGATCCAATAGCGAAACAATTATCTCCCGTTGATTGTACAGAAAACATCTAAATGTTTGTGTTTAGTGATGGCACTAAATTAGCAGCGTTTTCAGCATACATAGTTTACGGCTGTCGAGGAACTCAATACAATTAATCACTTTGACAGCAGAGGGTGCCCTTTGCTCATTTTCTCAACGAATGACGCTTTCAGTTCCGGCTGCTTTCTAGCACAGGGGAGGTCAACATTCAGGCCTCAAACACAGAGGCTCTGGGGAGGCCAATGCAAGGATCAAGGGTGAAGAGATTATAGTGTGGAGCCAAAGGCCACAACTCGCTCGGGCACGAGAGAGCAATCATCGCTGACAGCCGTCACCGGCAGCGTTTGCCACACTATTTCCTGTTGCAAAAAACAAATTCGTTGCCCAAATCTGATCGCTGTTTCGTTTTAGTCGGCCAGTGGGATGGCAACTTCCAATCAGAGCCGAGAGCTTGCACAAATACCCGAGGATGTGTTTTCTGAAGATAAATCATCGTTCATAAAAAAACTTTTTCAACAAACTCTTTTTAGCGTTTTATTATGAAACGCCATTGTAACACCAGGTTGCCACAGCTGCCCACAGTAACAAAAGCGTTGTCAGATAGAGGCACGGGGGGGTCACACTGATCGTTCGGTGAGCAGAGACAAGACACGCCGGCACGTGCTCGGGTCAGGGTGCAGAGCTGAGCCACTTGGTATGTACGTTGAACTTTTTTCCCACCAACCTTGCTAATCGGAGGTGGGCGGAAGGACAACAAACTAAAACACAAAAAGCAGTTCTAGAGAAATGAGTGGTGGCGTCTGGGCGGGGGCCAGTCGGCGTGTGGGGCCCGTGGGGCGGTCACCTCTCGCTGGTGACGCGGATCCTCTCCTCGCTGCTGCAGTGCAGGGTGTCTTGCTTGCCGTGGAAGTAGAGGTCCACGCAGTGCTCCTCGAATTCGTGCAGCTTCTTTTCGTCCTCCTCCGTCAGGTACAGCTCTGTGCACACGTCCGTCCCGGCACCGACGAGCTAGCGCGATCACAATGCTCGGTCAATCGACCTCGCGTCCCTTACTTACAGAGACAACAAACCGGTGAAGCACCGTCCATCGTTGTACCGCACTACTCTCTGAGCCTTCACCGACCAGCGCTGACCAGCGTGGTAAAGTATGGTCAACTAACCCCCACGGCTCAAACGGCGTGCGGAGGCCCTCATCCAGCAGTGGAACAATACGAATGATGGCCATGCACAAGAGCCCACTCGGTCGTGGAGTCTCTTTCTCAATAGACACGTAGGTGTAAATTAGTGGAGAAAAAACAGTGAACAATGTCCAATGGGAAACTAAGCGACATGTCTCGGACCGTGTTCGTGAGCATAAGGCAGATTTAAAACAGGGTAGGACCAATACTTCTGCCGTGGCTGATCATTATTTTAATGCGGCTGGCTCACACGATATATATTTCTCTAAGATGATGGTACTTTGCAAGCCGACTGGCTACCAACAAAGATTCGTTCATGAAGCCATCCATATATACAGACACAGACAATTTCAACTGAGAGGATGGTTATAAACTCATCCATCATTGGAAAGATGTCATCAACCAATTTGAGTCATGACTTGATTTGTGTCTTCTTGTCAACCTCCACCGTCAGCAGTGTGGGTATGTGGAGCGAGGTGCAATGATTGCCTGGCAGCCCTTTAATTGGTGTAGTCCCGCTGCGTTGGCGTTGCTTTCTCCCACATTAACATCAGCTGCCCCGCCCATGCTGCTGACACACTTGGGCTACGCCCATCTCTAAAACCTTCATAAACAGTTTGCCTTTAGAGGCTAACCCCCCTTTTCCTGATGACGACTGCTTGTGTTGCGATCGAAATGTCGTGATTTTAATTTTAATTAAATTTTTATTATTGAAAGAACCAGAATAAGTCTACATTATAGACTGCCAGTACGCTCACTCAGGTTAATAATCATTTCTAGTCTACATTATAGACTGCCAGTACACTCACAAAGGTTAAGAACCAGGCTACAGTCTACATTATAGACTGTCAATACGCTCACTGAGGTTAAGAACCAGGCTATAGTCTACATTATAGACTGCCAGTACACACTCCGATTAAGAGCCAGGCTACAGTCTACATTCGTCTTTTTTGTGTTTTTTTTATTCACTTAATTTTTATTATAATTTTTCTACCTACGTGACTTTACCAAAAGAACCAAAGAATAAGGTCCAAAGTGTAAACAAAACAACACAGAAAACACCATTTGCCCTATGTGCAATGCGAGTAAATATTGTCACACACTAAACAATACATATAAAACAGTAATTAAACATTACATATTAAGTCATATATCATCTGGTGAGTTACATTTATATTGCACGGTAGCTGCATGGGCTTTATTTACAGCAAATGTTTAAATGTGATCGTAAGCCGAGGGAGCTCAATGGCACATTGCTGTGAACAATGTCACGGGATCTTTAATGTCCCCTCTCTTTACCATAGGCACAGTGCTTCGGTAAATCCGTACAAAACTTGTGGGGCTGCCATGGGTGCTGCGCCGTGCACCAAGCGAGCGTCACCTGGGAGAGGACGGCCGCTGTTAATGGACTTTTCCACACCTACCAATGCAGGACCCTCCAGGCAAAGTGCTCTGAGAATGGGCGAGGCCTCCATGGATGAAGGAGGAACTGCTATTCTCACCATTGGCTGCACCTGGTCATACGGCGCTGTTGACTGGTAAAGCGCTCCCATTCACAGGAGTTTAGTCATGAACTAAAATCCTGGTCAGGAGTTAACTGATTCCATCATCTCTGCAGGGTCAGCTAAACGAGCACCAGTTTGCAGGAAATCGACAGTGCTTGTCCTCTGGTGAGACTGCAGCTGGCCCCTTCCATAGCAATGTGGAATTTATATCATTGGCGCAGGGCTGCCAATAGAGATAAGTCCTGTTGCAATTCCCCTTTCACCGTGAAGTCACTTAAACTTAAATGGAACTGTACACTAAAACAACCAAATCGGCAAGGTAGCAGCGGCAAGCTGGTCGCTCCGTAGGTTTTGCCAATGGCAACACTCTCTGCTGCTCCAAAGTATGTATGTATGCTGAACTTCTTTCGCCCCATACGTAGCCAAACGTGCCAATCGGAGGTGCGGTAGTGTGGGGCAGGGGATGAGTTATCCCTGCACGTAACATCGGTGGCGGTCGCGAGAGGCGAGTTAAACGACACGGCACGGGCGCGAGCACTGACTTAGCCAGCTCTGCTTGTCCTTGCGCTTGGCGGGGTTGCGCTTGCAGCGGCGGCAGAGCTGCGAGGCGAACAGCGAGAGGTAGCTGAGCAAGATGAGCGGCGGCGGCAGGATGGGCTTCTGGTGGTAGTACATGGTGAAGTGGTAGCGGTGAAACTTCCACAGCTTGTCTGAGATGTTCTTGGCCTCCAGGTAGATGTTACTGAGGTTGGGTGGGGAAGTGTGCAGGGAAGGGGAGACGGAGGGTAATTTAGTTCACGGCTAACGTAACGATTCTCACCCCTTGTCACCAATCCCAGTTACATATATATATTTTATTTTCGTCCTTGCTGTGCATATAGACTATACAGCGATTCAAACCTTTTAATTCATTAAGGTTATGAAATTGTAGAATCACACTACTGTAAACAAATATAAACTAAAAGTAATTAATGATTATTCAAACATGGTCATGTATTTCAAATGAATCTAAGATAACACTCGAATCAATTAATCGTTTGAGCCATGTTTACGCGTCGAGGGGTGTGGGTGCTATGTGTAGACTTCAACGATCGTGCGTTGGGGGTTGATTCACGCTGTTATTCCCCTTTGAATTTTTTCCCGGGAAAATTTGGAATTTCCACTCATCAAGATGGCACACTCACTTGAAAAATGCGATGAGGAGGTTGACCATGATGATGTACTGCACGAAGAGGTAGACGGCTTGCAAGAAGGGAGTGATGAAGACCCCCGCGGTGCACGGGGGATACTCATCGTCCGTGCTGTTCTTCATGATGTTCTCGCACGCTGCCAACACCGCCACACAGATGCACACAGAGATCCCTCATCTGGCCTTTAATAGACTGTTGGGGCAAGTGCTGTTGACGAGCGCTAATTAAGGCCAGCACAGCGAGCGCCAATTAAGGCCAGCACGGCGCACAAGAGCGACGGTGGCCAGCACCATGCCCGGCCACCTCCGCCTCCCCAGTGCTGAGGTTTATACTCAGCACCAGGTGCTCACTTGATGCTGGATCGACCAAGGGGCGGCCCAGGACCGGTTCGGATGTTGGCTGTAAAGCGGGAATTAAACACAGGTCACCAGGTTCGAAGCGCAGTGCGTTTATCACTGCACTATCCACTCCCCAGACAAACACAATGCGTGTTCATTGAGGTACGAGCATGGACAGCCGAATACATACACGTGTACACACAGATACACAACAGTATCGTAAAAAAATTACACCCTTTACATGTCTACAAAAGGATCATTGAGTCTCAAAGTCACTAAATCAGAAGGGTCCTGCATAGGATTTTTTCCAGCTTTAAACACAGAGCAAGGGAGGAAGAGGAGACACTGATGGCTGGAAACCCCCAAAAGCAGCAACAGCGGTACAAGAGAAGCAACCTCCACTGATGATAAGAGGCCAAGGGGTGATAATAGCTTCGAAACAGCAATTAACAAATGCAAATCACGAGGCACTTTAAACGTGTAACTTTAAGCGCGTTGTAATTGTAATCACTGTGCGTTTTTAACACTCCGGTGACGCGACCATGGTTACCGTCGATCTCGGGCGCATACACCTCCCCGAAAATCATCCAGTAGGGCTGGAAGACGATGTTGCGGGCGAGATACCAGGAGGGGTCGGCCTCCTTGAAGAGGATGGCCTGTCGCGCCACGCCAAAACTCAGCAGCACGATGGCCATGATGATCACGATGGAGAACATATTTGCCATCTGTACGCGCACACGGAGGGAGGGAGGGATCGCGTGAGGCCGTAAGAATGCGTGCGAGGGGTGCGGGCGAGATCCGGGTGGGGGGGGGGGGGTTTGTGCGAGCATGGTGGCCGATCACGCAGCACTCACGAAGAAGGGATGACGAGGTTATGTTCAATGTCCGCACGCATTACTCAATGCCCCAGTATCGCCGAACGCACCGTGTCAAGTGCAGCCTATGGTGCGATGCACGATGGACACAGCTGGTCGGTGGACTCACCATCTTGCCAATCATCATGATGTACGGCCCCACGTTCTGGTTGACGGCGAAGACGTCGAGCAGCCGGACGTACCAGAAGATGACGTCCAGCGAGTACACGATCTTAGCCTCGATGAGGAGGTGCGATTGGGAGCGCAGGGCGACGGCAACGAAGAAGAGCAGGATGCCCAGCGAGTCGTTGATGTTCCAGTAGCCGTCCAGCCACACCTTGATCTTCTGACCAAACTTGCCCGGCTCCGACATGAAAATCTGAACGCCGACAGACGCGCCGGTCATGGCAGCGCGCACTCGGGCGACTCCCGCAGCAGCCCCACGATGCGCATCCACGGCCAACAAAGGAGAATAACGGCAAACTGGGCAACGCGCGGAAGAGACAGTGCCGTTACGGTGTAATAGATTCCTCATCAACAAGTAACCTGCCTTGGGTTTCTTGTGTGGCCCCAAAGAAGGCCTCTGCCCCAACTTGTATTGTCTTCAATCCTCTACCAGTGGAAGATCATTGAAGAACAGCAGACGAAGAAGTAAACAAAACAATAAATAAATAAATGTTATTTATTTATCCAGGAAAGCCTAAGTATCCAAATAATTTTTCAGCAGGGATTTTGAATTGGGATCGTTGTCCAATTCTTTTTTTTAAAGCAGTGCTTTTGGAGTTGGGAGAAAACCACAGAAAACCCATGCATGCGAGGGGATAGCACACCAAAGCACGAGCAGATGGGTCACAACCTCTCACTCTCTGTGCTGACGCCTCCGAGTCACTCCGCAGCCCAGCGGCTTTGCGAGTTTCCCTGACCTACACGACCGGTCAAGAACCCTGCCTCTAACGGCCTGGACCACAGACGGCGCAACACGATGGGCCAAGCGGGGAATGTACTCGTTGCCCAGCTGCTGCCAACCACGCGACCGCGTGGCCCCACACTCGCCGGGCGGGGGTGGCGTCCGCTCGGCCCTCGCGACGGGCACCATCGCTCACCTCCCGCACGCGCTCGATGGCCGACATGAAGAGGTAGAGGATGACGAACCACTCCTGCACGGACGGCAGCTGCTGCAGCTTGACGAGCACCACGTAGGTGAAGAGCATCAGGAAGCCGATGTACGCCAGCTGGTGGGCGATACGCGCATTGGACACGCGGGTAAAGAGACGGAGCGCACTGAGGCATGCTGCGCATACATACGGCCGCTACACGCACACAAGTGTTCGACGCAAGGCACACGAGCACCAAAACAACAAACAGAAATAAACAAGTATATATATGCCAGTTGAACATTTATATTAACATCGGGCAGTACCACCGGCCTTCACACTCCCGCAAATCTCATAAACGTGGGCATTCAATTTTATTTTAAGAACAATCCACCATTGAATGGGGAGAGTTGCCCAAGTTGTGTTGTTGCAACAGGACTGTTTTGCAATCTATTAAACAAAATAAACATTTTTACGAGTCATATAAGCGCTATAAACCTACTGTTTAATAAATGTACATTATGTAACAAGGACGAAGCCCGTTTAAACCAGGTTATGCACGAGCTAAACCCTATCAACGTTCCGTGAGGCTTCTCTTCCAAGCTTGTTGCTTTCAGACACAAGCCGGCACATACCACACATCGGTGGGAACGAATGGAACAAGGTGAAGTGGCCACCCTAACTTATGGACTTGGGGGGAAAGCGATGTGGACGTGCCTCCACAATTTACAGCTTTCATAAGGACCATCACACATCCCTGCTTGGCGACTCCACACGCGGTCCCCCTGGCTACCCGACACGGGGTCCTCTTGGCGACTCCACACAGGTCCCCTTTGCTACCCCACACGGGTCCCCTTTGCTCCTGTGAGCCCGGCCAGCGTGTGCTGTGCATCCGGCGGCACGCACCGTGTTGAACCAGAACTTGACGATGGGGGCGTGGTAGAACTCGTAGATGCGGCGGCTGAGCGAGAGTCCTGACGGCCGGATCCAGATGCCCTCCTCCTCCTTGTGGCCGGATTCTCCGCCGTCTGCCGCGCTGCCGTTGCTGAACACTTCCTGTGTTTTTGCGAGCGCCCGTTAGCAGAGCGGTTCAGCGTGCGGGCGTTGCACAGTGGACTCAGTTGCTCAGTATCACACGACGTTGTTTTTTTAAGGTAATGTTGCTCTACGAGACTGGTCTACGAACCCTACTGTCCTAAGAAATAAGATCCTGATGGCAAAAGATAATAATCACAAAAACACTCGCTGGCTTAAACAACGTTGCTTGAAAGTATGCAGACCACATATTTTAGAAAAAGTCACACATTATTTGACAACATCTCTATAACCCACCTCTTTCACAGGCCAGGATACATGGTAATTACCTTTTTTAATGTTGTGTCATGCATATCCAAGTAAAGACCATGACACCGCAACCAGTGGGGGGGGAGAGGGCATCGGTGGTATGGGCGGTGGTGACGGTGGTGGGAAACCGGCGTTGGTATGCCTCTCATGCCTCCCGGGGGTGGCGCTGGTTGGCAAGAGCTGGCGGGCGAGCGGCGGTGCTCACCATGGGAATGTCGCGCGTGGCGGCGGCACGGTGCTCCCGCTCCTCCTGCCCCATCTGGTGCAGCTCCTCCGACTGCGGGATGTGAGACATCTCCGCCTTGCTCTTGTACTCCAGCATCAGAATGGAGGGTGGCATCAGGATGCTCAGAATCACCTGCGCGTGCGGGCACAGCGATACACCGAAAACACAAAACAAAGATCTCACATACAGTCTGAATGGACTGGTGGAGAAAGTGCCATGAGTCAGGACTTACGAAGGCCAGCGCGGTACATGACGGTGTGGTGGTGTAGCTAACACCACATACCTTTGTCTCCCCGCATGGTTAATGTTTGCACACCGTACTAAGTACTTACTGAAGGCCGAGTCGACTTGGGCGAGGCCCAGGACCAGTTCAGATATCTCTCGCCCCTGATATCAACTGTGACTAGAAATATAACTTGGGGCCCGCTGGGCCCTAACCACACATATGTAATGACAGGTCAAACCTCCGTCCATTTAGCCTCGCGGATTACTCGGGAACATGCTGTTAGTGTGGCGAGCGCCACGTACGCCTAGCCGCCTTTGTCCCCCCGGCGCCAACGCTCACGCGCGTTGGCACCAGACGTGAGCATGGCGAGCGCGCGATGCACACCTTGAACCAGGAGTTCTTGCGCATGTTGAGTCGGCCCATCCACATGTCGGCGAGCAGCATTTGCGTGCAGGTGTGCGCGACGAAGGGGCGGTGGCGCGACGACACGGCCAGCTTGAGGCAAGTGAAGTTGCTCCAGTTGCGCAGCTCGTAGGTCAGCAGCTTCATAGCCATGCGCTCATCCTGCCGGAACGACTGGTCCAGCAAGTCCAGCGCCAGCTGGCCAAACTCTCTGCACACGCGACACGTATGCAGAGCACACACGCGCACACTAAGTCACTCGGGTTGTTAATCGACTTAAATTTTTTTTATAATTGCTTACAAAAGTCATGGGATCGACGGTGGAAACCTGGCAAATGTTACGACTGATCGAACCGATTGGCATGTTTGACTGCGACTGTGTATGTGACGAATTTTCGATAACGCTATAAAACTAAAGTATCAACCCCACGTGTTACCAACGTCCAACGTTGTCAGCCCAGTGCCTGCTTTTACGCGTGCACACCACAGCCTTTTCCACTTCAGCTCATCCTCTCGGCTGATGACCAAATCATCCGACAATGTGTCTGGTCTTGTGGGATCTCAGTAGCGAAGCGGGCTCGAGCCTAGTCAAATCCTAGGACGGGTGACCACGGAGGAAGCAAACGTTGGCCTCTGTACAACATCGACGGTGGCGCGCACACGGCCCCACGCACGTCGAGTACTGCTTGAGCTCCTCCGACGAGTCCTCCACGGCCTCGCTTTGCTTGGCCTCGCCCGCCAGCGAGCGGTACAGCTTGCAGGCCACCAGCGCCTTGGCCAACGACTCCTCGCCGTGCTGCCAGAAGAACATGGCCATGCGCTGGCGCTTCATGAGCACGGCCCAGGCGAGCAGCTCGTTGAAGGGGTAGGCGAAGCAGCTGCACTCGGGGTCGCTGCCGTCCAGCGTCACGCCCACGCCCGACGCCGTGCTCATCTTCTGCTTGCGCTGCCGCGTGTTGTCCACGGACGCCTGAGGGGGCGCCGGGGCAGGGGGAGCGAGAGAGAGAGAAACAAAAGGCTGACGTTTCAGGTAATGGGCCTTCTTTGGAGGAGCATGAGAGGGCAAATAGATGGTGTTATGGTGAGAGCGCACGACTCAAAAGGTTGAAAATGTTGGAAATTTAAATTCTGATTGGGGGATGACTGAGCCCATCACTTTGGTGGGGTTAATACAATGAGGGCCACGTTGTTAGACGTCGATAGTGATTGTCCCACAGTCAAGCGGATGCAGGGTTTGCATTGTTGACTTGGGAGCTTCTGGCAGAGAGAACGACCGCCCCAATCCTTATTTGAGCATCGGAGCCCTCCAACTTTGAAAAATGTATAAATAATGGAGAACAAATCTCTTCTCTGGCGAGGAGATCACGATCACAATAGTGCCAGAGAAGCTGAACGTTGCGATGCTGTCACATTATATCTATACAGAACCCACCTTGTATTGCACTGCATGTACCACCCATAATCACCGATTCAAATTCTCACATTCACAACCTCAACCATTTAACTTATCGTAAATTAACAATAATAAGTCACAGCCAATGTTAATCCGCTGCTGAATGAAGACTTCCACATGCCACGTCGGTCATGGGGGTTGTTTGACTATACTTCACCGCACTGGTCAGCGAAGGTTGATGACGGGGAGGGGTCTGGCCTGGTTCAGAAACAAAGGTAGCTCGGGGGTTCAGAGTGCAGGTCCTGAGCGACCGCGTCACAGCCTGACAGGCACCGACGACTCAGTCACCTTGTGTTATTACGATTCTCACTTCCCCAGCAATAAACGAATTGCCAAGCCAACCGTGGCACCACAAAAACTTTCCAACACCATCCGCGTATCGATGTGAACTAGCACAGATTGCATTTGCCAAGACAGGACAAATGTCACGCACGTTTAATTTTCACCGCCACCAGCAATTCACCTTCGCAGTAACATTCCGTGACTTTCGTGAGCCCGCACTTTCGCACGTCCTCATTTCTGATTGTCCCTGCTGATAACCTCCCCCCCCCCACCCGCCACTCCCGTGGAATTCCCACGGTATTCTTGCCGGCAGACAAATGGCAATTACAAGCCTTTCCGTGCCGTTTGGGAATTAACATTCTGATAGCGATCTCTTACGGCGCTGATTATTAACCGCAGGACACAAACGGGTGTTCATCTCACGTCCGCCTCCGGCCACCTCTCACGCGTTTACAATGCCACTCTAAAGGCCACGCAATAATTACATGAGTTTAACAGCCCGTTTGATTTTCAATTGATAGGGCTTTAAGAAAACAGTAATAACATTTTGTTATAATGAGACTTGTTCTGACGACGAATGTAAGCGAGCGCCGCCAAGGTGGCTGGCCGTGGGAGGCGCCCGGGGCTGTGCGTGGCTCTCGGCGTGAGAGGCGCACTGCGCAGCAAGGGCTCCAGACTTCCCCAGTCGCCCCAACAATGTCAGACCGCGGGGCACCGGCAAGCATAGCGCCCATAGGGCCGCCAGGAGCACGTCGATCGCGCGAGCCAGGAAACTACGATGTAGATTTCCACAGAAGGCAGAATTTACGGACCATTTAACCCTTGCTCTCATAGCCCTTGGTACGCAGTGCGGTCTGGGAAAAAGGCAACGCCATCAGAAATTCTCTCCCAGGAAACATTTACCTTTTCAATTACGGAATCTATGAAAATGTTCTCAGAATGGATACCAATTCGTTGACTATAGAATATCTTTGTGATCAACCATTATAAAACTCTGCACCCAAGACCCAAGTTTTCAACAATTAAACCATTTAAAAACAGCACATTGTGTTTCCATCTGTGTTTTAAAACCACATTCATTGACTATAGGAAAGTTACATCTCTTTATAACATGTGCGTTCAACCCTGAGTATGCCGACGCAACGGGACATGGCACGGCCAATTGAGTCTCAGCTGCGAATTGCGGTGAGTACGGCACTGCGAGGCGGTGGGTGTAGATCGGCAGGTCTTGCCTGCGTTAGGCAGTGAACACGGTGGAATGGTAGGCGGTGAGCAGGGCCACTGAGGGGCGGTGAGCCCAGTGCCATGAGAGGCAGTAAGCGGCAGAGCCGCGTGTCTCGGCTGTTAGAAGCGGCAGTCATGGTGCCGCCCGCAGCCATGGGCGGTGGTGGCTATGCACGTGACTGTCTCTAATCCAGCACCGTGGGGGCAGCAGCGAGAGTTGGTGGATCACCGCACAATTGTTGCGAATCTCTCTTCCCGTGGGCGTCGAGGAGCAATACCCTGGCTTGCCAAAGGAAAGTGGAACGGCGAATGTGGACTAACATCATCTCTGCTATCTGTATGGGATAGAGCGTTGCCCCCTCACCCGTGTGCATTTTCTCCGAGTGCTCCGGTCCCCCCCCCCATGTATAAACACTCATGATTAATTTACTGAAAACATCTCAATCTGTACATGCCTCCGCATTTGCGGCATGCACAGCGTTTGGCGACGCAGTTTCATAAATTGTGCCGTGCAAAATGTTTTTTTTTTTATTGAAACTCATTATTAAAAAAATATTCAGTTCTAACTCAATAACATTATGTTATAATCGTGTGACTATTATTATTATGAGAGGCAGTGAGCGCTGTGCGCGTGCCTTGCGCTTGTAGGGCTGCGCCGTCTTGAGGAAATGGTTGTGCCGCGTCTGAGACTCCTGCTCCGAGAGGTTGGGGTTGAAGAGCTGGTGCCGGTGGTTGAAGATCTGCGAGGTGTTGGTCTGCAGCATGGCCGAGCTCGTGCTCGTCTTGAACTTCTGTAAGGTCGTAGGGGGAACGGCGTTAATGAGCAAACAGCGCCGTCTCTTACTGCATGCGCCCACCGTAGGTGACAGACAGCGCACCCAGCACGCGCGGCCCCCTCCCCAGCAGGTATGTAGGCATGTTGAACCGTACGTAGCCAACCGTACTCATCGGATTGTGGGGGAAGGGCAACAAAAGGCATGACACACGCGAGACAATAATAAAACCGCAACTGGTTCCAACCTGCACAAAGACAGTCTCAGACTTGAAGAAAAACTCAAGCCATCAACAGATATCTTGTATTTCAAATTAACAAAGCTACAAAGTCGAATTAGCTTGGAATAGAGTACATAGAGTTCTTGTGTGTGGAACACTGCGCCACCTATGATAAATGGACGTTCGTGATGATATGGCGTTTGAATTATTCATCGCCTACCAAACCGAAACGGCGAGTAAGAGTTTCCCGACAAAGCAACTCCTGCGTGCCGGCACGACAGGCGGACGCTGAACTGAACCCTTTGACCGATTTGCTGATTAAACGACGCCGTCCTGGCAAAGCGCCATCGCGAGGACGTCCCCGACACGCGAGCTGAGTGCGCCGCTGCCGCCGCCGCTACCGTACCCGGTGCTGCCCGTAGAGGTTTTGGTAGAGCAGCCGGAAGCGCTTGCGCGTGTACATACTCCGAAACGCGCCACCCATCAGGAACTCGATCACCAGCCCCACGTCGATCAGCGTGATCTTGTAATCGGGCGGGAGGTGGCTCTGTGGGCAGGGAGGGCGGAGAGTGCGAGACAGGTGGGTTTGAGTTCTGGGCACATGGTGTCTATTCCGTAAACCCGTGGACATTAAGAAAAAGAGAATGACTACACTAATTTCAGGTTTCGAAGGAGCTCCGAGCACGTTTGGCCAAACATCGAATGTCGTGCCCAACGGCCCAAAAGTGATAATTTATGCAGTAGGATTCACAACTAGACACTGTTCGCAAGTGCACTCATTCCCAAAGTATTCATTTTTGTTTTCAAGATGAACAAATGAGAATAACTTTGTCAGCAAAAACATCGTTTTACAGTATGCATGATTGATAACGGCAGTTGAATTTGAATCAAAGTATTTCCCAACTCAAACGAGCAATAGTGGAAATTCCACATCCCCAAGGTGGAGATCCGAGCATGCAGGAGACACTTAGAAAGGTGGTGACAGTGATGATGTGTGGGGGTGGACAAGTTTTTCTCTGCTGCTCACCACAAAAGCACTTAGTAGCATCACCATGGGCATCATCATCATGTATACTTATGCCCATGATGTCATGACTTTTGTATATTAAGCACGCAGGCTAATACAATCCCTTGTGTGTCAATATCAAACGTGTCCAAGCGGAGTTTACATCTAACATTTGATGGTGGGCGCTGGCTGTAGTGTAGCTTACTGACCCGCCCCACCTGGATATCTGTGAAAATAAGCTTCACAGCTCACGGGATTTCTCACCAACCGCAGAGAGTGCCATGTTATGCCAGCGCCATACTCTCGAGGACGTGAGGTTTACCTGGTTCACTAATGACAGGGATCATACATTAAGCATTCAGCATGAGACTGCTGGGACCAAATTAAATATTACACAATTCCAGACATCCCAGTCACTGCTAGCGAAGAACACTACGTAAGGAAGCCCTTCCAGGCAACATGTATATATAGAGCCCATCTTTGGTTTTCCCACTCGCTTAGGCACAATCTCTAGCCCCCACCCTCTTTCCCGATGCGGCAACCCCCTCTCTCCCCCATTCTTGGCTCTATATATATAAGGACTTGTTTCAGCAGTCTGTTTCTCTCTCCCACCTGAAGACGATTGCTTGTGTGGTGATCGAAACGTCGTGATCTATGATTTTTTCTACCTATGTGACTTTACCGAAAAAACCAAAGAGAATGTTGAAACAATTCAAATACACCAACAATGCGCAACTCACCTTTTTGACGTCTCGTACCAGGTAGTACAGGGTGGGGTTTATTGGTCCATTTTTCTAGAGAGAGAAACAAAGAAACCGCGCAGAGATGAATGTCCCTCTTTATAATACGCACACCACTCGTGGCATACAAGACACCCTCGGGCGATCACAAAAGTGGCGAAATGCTGTTGCCAAAAAAAGTGATAGTCACTGAACCTAACTCACCCCACTTACCATAAATACATGAACAACAAAAAGACGAATATGCTGACTTGGGTCCACAGGACCTGCGACACATCGTTTACTGTGCCGCACTCTTATCGGCATGCATGCCATATAAACGCACGCGCGGTATCCACGTCGCCGCTGCAGAGCCATTGTGACCAGCGATCTCCCCGATAGGCAGGCAGCCAGCAACGGCACACCTGGCGACCAGACACGGACTCCGGCGGCTGCGTTCATTTCACGCTGGAATCGAAGTTATCATCAGCGACGCTTATGCTATTGGTGGCGCTTCTCTTACAGATGTCGCGCAGTCCCTTCACTCACTTTGGTAATGTTCATCAAACTGAAGCGACAGTCTTGGCTGTTGCACAGCCCGAGAATACCTTACCAAACACCGCCTCACTGCTGGAAGATGTACAGCACAATGTACTCACGGTCATATAAAACCAACTTTTGTATTCATCCATCAGTTGAGATGTAGTGTGTTGATGATTACAGTGGAGAAGTATATTCAGCCCGTGTTTGGTTCAGTATTATGCCGTTTTAATCGATTCGCTAATATTGGGCCAATGACACTTGGGCTAAGAAGCCATATAATGGGTGGGCGGGGGGGGGGGGGTGTTTCTTGGAAACATTGGAGAGAAGAGTACTTATTTATTATTATTTATTATTATTTTTTCTATCTACGTGACTTCACCGAAAGACCCAAAGAGTAGGACTTATTTAGTGTGCACATTATTTTAAGAGAATGCGACAGGAGGAGGAGGAAGGATTACAAGTACCAATTATCCAGCCGGCCACATTGCTTATAGTTCCACGGGTGAGAGCGTGAGTTTGCCAAGAGTGGACGCTTGGGCGGGTTTGTGCGCAGGCCACTTACCGTGTTGTAGAGCTCCTCGAGCCGCGTGATGGTCAGGAACTTGTGCATGCTGACGCCGTTCTCGATGAGCAACTTGACGAAGTCCACGCGGTCCATCACCAGCGCGTCCAGCATGGCCTTCTCCAACGCGCCCACCTGTCGGGGAGACGCGAGCTCGTGAGGGGACGGCACGTCACGGACGGCGTCCCGGGCGCCAGCGACCCGGCGGCGAAGAGGGACGCACGGTGCGATGGGGAGCAGGGGACGAGCAGCGCGCGGGCGACGCAACGCCCACCAAGTGAAATGCTCGCGCCACCACTAATCCCAGCATCGAGCCCCATACTGGGGCCCGATGCCTTCTCAGTTTTGCGGTTCGTATAGCTGCTTTGGTGAAATTCGTGCCAACAGGCCGGCACGCGCACATGTCGGTGTGAAGGGAAGCGCACGTGCCGTATGTGTGCGTGTTCGTGCCAACACACACGCAGACCAGCACATATATGCACGTAAACACAAATACAATGACACACGCAAGACACACTCGTAAACACATGCGACGTAGATACAAGAAACATGCGTATACACACACACACAAGCAGATGCTGACATTAGCGCAAAAACAGAAACCAAGATTCCCCATATAGCCTCAACGGACTGTTGGGGCAAGTGCTGTTAGTGAGCACCTATGAAGGCCGCAAAGGCACATGAGGGGGTGGTGGCCAACACCAAGCACACACACACGGTGGGACATCCGTGCGCGCGACCACAGCACCGCACTCCAGCCTCACCATCCAGTGCTGGCCGTAGACAAACACATGATTCTTGGCAATGTCCACACGGTCCCAGGCCAGGGCGAGGTTCAGCTGGTCCGCACTTGAGAAGTTCGTACCTGCAGCGGCACCCATTCGGCATCAAAGGGCGGCGCGACCACCTCCAACACGCCGTGGGGGTGGGGCAATTACCAGGCGGCGGCGGTGGCGACGGCGGCAGAGCTACGACGCTATCAGAAGCAAGAAAAGTAACCGTCCGATGCGTTGCCGCTCCCTTCAGAAGCTGCCAGCATGTGGAGCGAACCGTCGGACATCGTGCCAAACAACACGTGGTACGACCCGGAAGCACATCGCAGAGCTACACAGCACAACCTTGACAACCTATGTAGTCGTATAAAAAATCCCATTCACGTAATTTAGTTTTCATGTTTATTAAGCGACAGTGAAGCATATCCCCACTCAAACGAGTTTGTGGTGCCCTCATCTCCATTGGCAATCCTGGGGCATAAGGAGGAAATTCCACATTTCCATGGTGTGGATCAGTGTCTACACAGAATGACCACCGCTGACTTTCAAAAAAGTGGTTTCACTGACCCCCGAGGAACGGTAGGCCGATGGCCCTCGCACCGGGAATTGTATTCGCGACCTTTTGAGTTTGAGCCGAGCGCGCCTAACCGGAGACGCATCTGATCTTTTTTACAAAGTACCAGAGCATGAGGGGCTGTGCCGAGGAGGGATTTTATTTTTGCGCACCTTTCAGCAGCGCTGTCAGGATCGCCAAGTCAACATCGGAGTGGTCCTCGGAGCCCGTGTGGAAAACTGTGATCTGTGGGTGGCGGAATTTTCAGAGGCATCAATCACAGAGCAAGACGGTTCAGCGGCACCGCATGGTTTTGCTTTGCAAAGGGGACCACGGCTTTCTTTTAAAATGATTTTCTCTCCAAATGCATCGCAGCTGTGCCATTGGCATCTAGCCAGCTCTCATCCGACAGAGAACCCACTGCAGAGCACACGGAGGTGTGCTGCTATGGGGAAAAAAAAACCCTTTGCTTAATATGGGTGGAAATTTACTCTCTTTTTAAGATGTATACAGAAGTGTCAAAGAACATTCACTCCCAATAAAGTATTTTTATCAAGAACAATTTGTTTCTCAAAAATATGTTTGGCAACGTTCAAAAAATGTACAGTAAAGCAGTTCTGTCCGACCACTTACGTAACTCTTGGACTGCCGCGTATCAGTTTCAATGAACAGTTTTAAAGCCAACGAACGGATCATTGCATAACAGCAGCAGCGCGTGGCCACGAACGTGAACTACAGGAGCCGAGTGAAACGGCGTGGGTCCTACAACTCGCTCGCTGCACTGCCATGTGTACACGTGTGTGTGTACACGTGTGTGTGTGTACACGTGTGTGTGTGTACACGTGTGTGTGTACACGTGTGTGCGCGCGCACACACGCACGAGTCCCCACCAGCTCCTTGCGCCGCATGCACTCGAGCAGCGTCTGTAGCAGGTGCGTGGCCTGGCCGTGGCTGAAGTTGAACGTCTTCTTGATAGTGCCTACAATCTCGTCGTGCAGCCCGTCGCACAGCTCCCTGTCGTTCGATCGTTCACGGGGCGGGCGAACACACAGCAGCAGCAGCCTGCACGTGAACACCCGCACGACTGGCCAGCCAGCAGGAGAACCACATGTAGTGACCATACGACTTAAGGATTAAAAAAGACACTTGAATGCTTACAGTTAAATATTATCGCCAATTAATCATCCAGGGTGGACTCGTAGAGTCCCAGGGCTTCGCATGGGGATGTTTGCCCATCGAATTTTGAAGGACTGTTTTGCATGACAATGGGAGTAAATTTAAATACCCGGAAGAAAGCTACGCTTACGAGGGACAAAGACCCCCACAGGCAAGATCATGAAACTATTTGCTGGACTGCCACATCCTGGAAATCTCGCAAACACGGCGGGTTTTGGATCTAACCACACGGGATGATCTATCCACGCCTTGCGTAATCAGCAAAGCCGCCTTCAAAGTGCTGGACACTACCGGCACACGCCCCCCACGCACTTCCACGTGCATTTGAAGTGTAGAAAAAACCCATGAGGCACGAAGCATTTAGCGGCGAGTGTGGGCCCACCCGGTGTCATCGGTGTTCTTGTGCAGGAAGGCGAGGATGTCGGCCGCACGGCCCGTGCCTTCGCAGACCACCACCGGCACGGGCGGCTCCTCCAGCAGGTACTCCAGCACCGTTACGATCACGTTGGGGCCGCCCTCGGCCACCAGGCCCACGACCGGCACACCCTGGCCCATGCCTGCACGGCACACGACGGTGTGGAAAGACAAAGATCCCCCGTGTAGCATTTGAAAGACTGTTGGGGCAAGTGCTGTTAGTGAGTGCCTATGAAGGCCGGCACGGTACATGACAGGGTGGGTGGCCAGCACCACGCCCGACTGCCTTTGTCTCCCCAGTGGTGATGATTTTTAAACACCACACAAGGTACTCATTTGAGGCCGAGTCGATCTAGGGGAGGCCCAGGACCGATTCAAATAACCGTCACTGGTGTCAAACGTGAGGGGGAATCGAACTCGGGTCGCCGGGTTTGTAGCGCAGCACGTTAACCAGACAGAAACACACAGACACACACCGCAGAAATGGGGCATCATCGTCAGCATGCGTGTGGCCTACAGGAGTAGGCGATCACACATGGGAAGCACTCACTGTTTTCATCCCCATGTCGTTAACTCTCAAACGATTCCTGATGAACGACTTTAAAAAGTCAAAGCGTCCACACGCTCATATGAGCGTTGGGCAATGGTCATCACCAAAATTAGTTTTGAGCAAAATGTGGACAATTCCACATTCCTATGGTATGGGACCAGTATTTCACAGGATCACAAAGTTGTGCCGCTCGTTTAGTCGATTCTTTAGCAATAACGAACGGCTGAGTTGACCCCTACACACTGACACCCCAAGTTTCCAACCCCGAAGGGATGATTGGCCGAGTTCACCTCTGGCCTCGCTATCCACAAGCGATACACCCTGACCGCAGCGTCGCCCGGTTAGGCGGACGACCGCTGCCGAGTTAACCACCCCGTTGCCCGGCGCTCACGTGTGTGGATCTTCTGCAGGCCAATGTGCTTCTCCAGCTCGCGCCGCAGCTGCGCCTCGGCGCCGTACTTCCCCACCGTGCCATCGTCCACCAGGATGAAGTGCGAGTGCAGGCTGTTGAGCAGGTTCAGCTTGCTCAGGGGGTTCGACAGCGTCTGGTACGGCGACACCACCTGCGCGGCGACGGACACGCACACACGCGCAAAGGTTGGCCGCGACCGCACGCGGAGAGGCCGGGCGGCGGGGGCCTGCCCCCCCCCCCGCCCCAGCGACTGCCGTTGCCCGGGATTCTCATCACCCCGCAGGGCACCGCACCGTTGCGTCACCCACGCTTCCACGCATCCCTCTAATTGGCCACGTTATGTAACATCGCGGAATCATAATGCGGCGTTGCGTGCGAGGGACGTGGCCCAATCTGCCGCAGAGCCACACACGAGGCTCTGCACGTATGAGCACGTACGGCTTATCAAGTGCAACAAAGGCTCGGCTGCTGTCACGCGCTATAATTGTGCAATTAACGTTCAAGTAAGAATGCGGCATGGGGCGATGGCGTAGTGCTTCCCGCACTGCGCCACACACCACCGTGCGCAAGTATAATTCATGGACATGGCTGACCTCAGTAGCAAGTGATATCTCACCAACCAACACTGACCGGTGTGGTGAAGTATGACCAGACAACCCCCTGTCTCTCACGGTGTGGGGGAAGCCTGCATCTAGCAGTGGATTAACAAGGGGCTGCAAAGAATTGTATTCGGAATGCGTTGCATATATTTCTCTGACCGCGCCAACGAGCTTGGCTTGGCAATGAGATTGATTTAGCTGCTCTCACTGCACAGTAATTAACAAGGATAATGTCCTGTACATAACTGTGTGACCATAGTGTCGGAAACAGCATATAACAGCGAAACAGCACAGCGGAATCACAGTGAATTTTAAAGAGAACACGCCATTATCACGGCTGCTGTGTACAGGTGTAGTGACTTGGAATGTCACTGTGTGGTGCCGGGCCTGCGAGGCCACGGCGGGATGGACACTGTTGTGTGTACACCCCGAACATGGGGTGTCGTACCAAACCTAGTGGGGGCTTGGGGGAGCACTGGTTCAGCGCGGTGACACCACGCACAGCGTGCGGTGCGGGCTCCCGTTGAGAGAGCGAGAGAGTGTCAGCCAGCTGGGGTTACGTTGGGGGCACGATACTCTGGCTGACCTTGGGGCATGTGACCGGATGATACTGGAGGGGGGCCACCGGTGGAGGGGGCCAATGGGTGGTCACGTGGTCCAAGAAGAACTCTCGAGAGCCTTCGGGCAAGGGTGAGAGAGATCGAGAAGGTGGGCGGGGCGAGAGGCGGAGCCAGCCCCAGCCCGGCCCGATATAAGGAGGGCCCCGAGAGGAGCTCGGGGTTCTTCCTGTTGGAGAGGCAGCAGATCCACGTCAAGCTTGAAGAAGCCTCCAGCCACCTGGTCCAGGACCCAGCTTGTGGTCCGGACCGGGATAGTGGAACCATGTCTAGTTCCGCCGTAGCGTGGTTAGTTGGGTGGTCACCACCCGAGAGTTTGCTGTGTTAATAGCCTAGAGTATGTTGTGTTAATAGCCCTGGAGTATGTCGTGCTAAGAGTTTAATAAAACGTGTTGCTCCCAAGACAACGTCTGCGACTCAGTTGGACTCTCTACACGTGCATTATCTTGCACATCACACATGACTCAAAATGCTGTACGTATGTATGTTGAACTTTTTTCGCACCATACGTAGTCAACCATGCTATTCAGAGGTGCGGGGGAAGGACAACCAACCAAACACAAACAGCAGTTCTAAAGAAATTCTTTTCAATCTAGATTTGAAAGTGGATCGATCCAGTGGCTTCCTTATATCGGAAAGAAGAGCGTTCCAGACGGCCGCAAAAACACATTTGAGGGCGCGCAATGCAGTGACCGTCTTTGTTCGATGGCTAGCCAAAAGTCGCTGTGAGGATGACCGGAGTGCCCGTGATGGTTTACGACCCTTGACGAGATCAGCGAGGTATTGTGGTTCATTTGTGGCAAGCACTTTGTCTGTGATGAGGGTGACCTCATACACATAAGCGGGCCATGAGTTCACGGGCGGTCGTCTGCCCGTGTGTACGTGCACATTCAAAATTGTGAGAGTATTCCACCTGGACGAAAAAAGGTGTACGAGTGTGTGCGCGCAAACTCACATCCTGTCCGACGAGGTCGCCCCGGTTCTCGATGACCCCCCAGGGCGCGATGCCAATGGTGCAGATCTTGTGGCTGGAGCGCGACGCGTGCTCCTTCAGCGCATTACCGACGTGGTTCACCACACCTGCACCACAAATAGAAAGTAAATACAAATGTCCCCTGTTTAGACTTCAGATTAGCGGGGGGAAGGGGATGCCATTAGCGAACAACTATACAGGGCGGAAGCCGACATGGCTACAACACCTCTGCCACACAAACACAAAGTAACCGCAAGCGAACGCCTACAGAGGCCGGCATGGTGCATGAGGGGGCAGTGTGGCCAGCACCATACGCTGCCACGTTTGTCTCCCAGGCAGGCGCTGATATGTACACACTGCACCAGGTACACATTTAAGGCCGAGTTGGCATCGGGGAGGACCAGGATACCACTTGCCAGTGATGTTTGCCAAGACAGGGAATCAAACTCGAGAAGAAGGACTTTTATTGCAGTGCGTGAATCACCACCGCTCCCCATATCAATAAACGCACACACGTGCAAACAGACGCTCCATTACCAGCACCATCATCACTGCACCTCATCAAGCGGCTGAATTTATGCAGTAACAGAAAAAAAAAATTTAACGTTTTTAACCCCAAATTATCGGAAACGGTTGTGAAAAGTTCTCAAAACTGTCAAGTGGAGAATGACAATGGGGTCTTGTGAGCAATGGAAAACACATGATGCCTTAACATCCACGCGACAGCAGGCAGCGAACTTTGGTAAGAACACTCGTGAAAGGCCAGATGGCTGCTGGCAATTGCCATGCTGCAACAATTACGGTGTATTTACTATCCGTAGCCATAGCAGGCAGCACTTGCTTCTTACTCCCTATAATGACTCTTCCTCGCGAGCCTTCAGCTGAACCTTCTGGACACACGGCAGATACAGAAAGAGATGCTCACGGGAGGTCTCCAAGGACAGCCTGGAGGGGCATTAAAGTGACCAGTACAATAGCCAAAGTGTATTTTGGAAAGCTTGAAATTCCAGAGTGTGTATTGAATTGTAAGCCTAAAGAACAGGAGCATTACTGAATAGGAATCGGTGACAATCGGCTCAGGGTGCAGAGATCCAAGCCTCCACACAGAATGAAGAGACGGAAGGAACCGGTACATCAACATTCCTGCGGTATATTCATTTCTCAAAGCACTTCCAGATTTGTTTCTGCATGCATGAATTATTATTATGACTCATACTATTGCTGGAGCAACTGCCCGCTCAGAGCCGCACAGCGTACACGACCTGGGCACCAGCAGGGAGGGTGAGGAAAATAAGTTTGGTGTAAAGAGCGTTGTTATTTTGAATCCAACGCAAGCCGAATCAGGCAGAAATGTATCTCCGGGTACATAAATTATGCAGAAATGTAGAGCACGATTTGTCCTGAACCCTGGGCTTGAGGTCTGCACATGGAGCTGGCAGTGTGCCCACCACTTCCCCTGCCAAGCAATAACAGGATACGATGGTTTGGGGAATATGTCTGTGTGCAATTTGTAGCAAAAACGCTTGTAATCACACAGGGTAAATAAACAGGAAGGCTCTTCCCGCGTCGAAATGAACTGCGCGTGCCCAGAGATAAGTACATAAAACGGAGCGGAACCCCCCGACGATCGGTACATCATTGGCCAACTTACAGTGCGGCGAGCACACTCCACCACGGGGCGGCTTCGAGGGGGTGGCGTGCAAAGGGCGGCCGATTGACGCGGCCTGCGCGTCGTGACCTCGTAACGGTCAGGGGGCACGCGCGCGACGGGGGCAGCCCTCCCCTTCGTCATCATTCTCCCATGGCCGCCGAAGACGGGACACGCGCAAGCGCGCGGCCCGCCGACTCGCGCACGATTGCACGTGCCGAGCCGTCCTCGCAACGCCCATATCTTCGCATTCACGCCACCGGGCACGGCTAAAAGTTTCCACCGCGGGTGCGGGGGAGGGGCTGGGAACGGCACGCGTTACCGTCACCTCCGCCGGAACGAGAGGCACGCGGCGAGCAGGCCGGCGCTGGCGCTCCACCGTGACCTGCTGCTCGTGGAGATTATCGCCTTCGTCGCTGTTTTGTTTTTATTTTTAACGATCGTCGCGTGCTTCCTCCAAGTGATATCCGAGAGTGCCGAATTATTTAATAGTTTTTTTGTTAAATTCTAATTGACATTCTTTATCTAAGTAGGTGAGAGTTCAGTGAGATTAATTCTTTGTTTTGCAGGAGATACTCGGGTATCTTCTCTGGTATCTCCTGCTTATAAAAGGGTCTGCTAATCATTTAATGTATTTTATTGGAAACACTCAAATTTGCGCTTTGGGTTAAAACAATGACTAGAATCATCTCGTAAAAGCTTTCATGTTCACTGCATGACAAAGAGCATGCTTGGGTAGCTGCCATTGGAATGTGGAATTTCACCGCTGGCTGAAGGTCATCAGCTGAGATAAGTAGTAACCCAGATGCTTGCTTGAGTAGGGAGACACTAACTTTTGACTCTTCCACCTCACCATATCAGTAAGTTTCAGGGGCCTAATGTAACAAAAACGTCTCATGCAGCATGATCAGAGGCCCTTGTGAGACAACGCGCAGGTCCGACCTCCTGAGCGGCTGCTCCTGACCAGTGGTATGAGCCACGGAGCCCCCACGGAGCCCCCCCGGAGCCCCCACGGAGCCCCCAAGCACCCACATCTCCACGTGCCCTCGAGGCGATCAAGCGAAGGCTCGAATCGGACCAATCAGGACATCCAAGCACTGCCGCCCTTCATCAAAGCAGCATCACCTGACACTGGTCACAGTCCTGCCTGTTCACAAGCTTGCATCCAACTTTTTTATTTCTTCATTAACACTGCCCCATAACACAAACAAGGTATGTTTGACAGGATAACGTTCTAGGAAATGACAGCAGAAATGCTGTCGACATGCTGACGGGCAGAAACCTCGCTGGCAGTGGTGCACAGGTGGAACAAATCACCGCGCCCTGCAGGGCAGAGGAGGGGTCGGCTCTGAAGGGGCATTGTTCGAAACGTCAGCCGATTATGATTATATATATTTCTGCTCTAAGTCGGTGTTTACGACGAGTAGGGCGAGGTTTTTTTTTGTACACGAACAATTTAGACTTCACAAATGTAACTTTTTTGTTCCATCAACAGATAATTTGTTTCCATTCAGAAGAGCTCGGTTCTCGCGGAGTCACCGTGGCACGCGATCCCTCACCGGTATTGACCCCTCCGGTGAAGATCCAGGCGCCGGTGGTGAGGGCGGCTTTGATGAGGCCTTTGCTGAAGACCTGCTTGAGTTTGGGGTGCAGCTCGAAGTTCTGCAGGCCTCCGTGGACTGAGATGAGCAGCCGGGGCAGCTCCATCTGCCACTCCTTCACCATGAGCTGCAGCAACAGGTCGGGGCGGCTGTCGTAGGAGACGCGCGCGTACTGCGGCACGGGCGAGGGCGACACGGGAGGGGTAGACGCGGCGTTAGGGGTCACACTTGCGACAGCTTCGACGAGAAGGGCACGACGCTCGCTCGCTTGCTCAACACGAGCCGACGGTCTCTGCAGTCGCTCGTTGCCGCCGGCAGCCCAGAGCGGAAGACGTCAGGTGCGTGCGTGTGTGCGTGCGTGCTGCGACGGAATCTCAGATGATCCACGTCAGGATACAATAACAGAAGAGATGTCGCGTTTAAGTGCTTTTCCATGCCTATGGCCAGCAGCCAACCTGTTGTGCACGTGCTTGCCATCAGAGGGCATGTGGGAAGTAGGGGAGTTTCTCTCATGAAGCCTTCCTGAAACAGTTTTTTTTATACATTAGTATGCGATTATAGTAAGAATAATAATGAGCCCTCTGTCAATCCACTGCTGGACACAGGCTTGACCATGCCGAGTCAGTCACGTGGGTTGTTTGACTATACTTGGACATGCTGGTCAATGCGGGTTGGTGAAGGGGGAGGCCCTGGACTGTAAAAGATGCCGCTCGCCACCGATGTTAGCTGCGAGCAGGAAGCGTGATGCAACGTCGTCACTCTGGTGTCCGCGTTAGTGTGCCGAATATGTGCCGCCCCACGTCAGCAGTGCATTTGAACAGAAAATATGAGGGAACTGAAGATGAAAGGGGGCTGAAAGATAACATGAATCAAATTAGAATAACGTTCCTCATTTGTCCTGGAAATTCTCACAACGTCTCAGGACTTATCAGTTGGGTCACGATTGCAATATTTGGCCAATCGAATGTAACTAAGACATTTGTGTGTGCGAGAAACTTAAAATGACAGGTGGGCTCGCAGCCTACTTAATCTACTGCCATAAGACTGTCATCTCGAAGCCCAGCTGGTTGGATTTGTCTCCCACATAACAATGCTTATGTAATCCACCAAAACCCCAAAACCACCAAAGCACTGTATCATCACAATCATCTTCGTTATCTTTCTGATACAACACAGGTATAAATGTGCATCCTCCAAAACCCACATTTGCATGACTATTTGCATGAACCGGCGACGTGCTTTAGGGCACACAGTTTACAACGAGTCGAAGTAACTACCGCGACAAGTGAACGCCAAGAGTCGTGCATTGCCGACGCGACACCCAATGACGTGGGGGACAGCGCTCTGTGGCAACACACTCAGCACCCGCACTGTCGCCCCCACGGGCACCAAAGGTCCCCCGCGAGCGTCTCCGGCGCGCGTTGACGAGCGTGGCTGGAAACGCGGCTCGCGGCTACGAGGCTGCTCCCGCACGGCAACCGGCCGTGCGGATGACTTAAGCAGCTAATTCGAGGGTGCCTGGAATTATAAGCGCATACCTAAACGGGTAAATATATAAATAAGGTTACCAGATTACATTTACAGTGCGCGTATATTCACTTATGGTGCTCAACCCCCGCCACCACCACCCTCACACTCGGGAAAATGAGCAGAGCGACTCACTGGTTAGTGCTGGTGGAAAAAATTCCACATTGCTGTGGCAGGGATCAATATACGCACACAACAAGGACATATTGATGAGGTTAATAATATTGCAATAATGTATCCAACTTCCACGGTATGAGGGGATAACTATATTTACACTTAACATTTTATTATTACTGTTAACATGGTATAACAATAAATGTGACGAATTGAACAACTGCACACCAATTGAAACGCCCAATGTGTGGGAACCTCGCCACGACCGCAGCAATGTTTAACTTTGCCGCGTTCCATCGACCGCGGCGGCGTCATCGCCGCAGCTTAATGTACAACCGCGTCGGCGTCCCCCGGCTGTCCACCCGGCACGAGCCGCTGCAACCGCTCCCAGTCGCAACGCCGAAATTTGCACCTCCGGCACAACAACAGCGCACGGCACAGCGCATGGCACAGCACGCTGTGTCTCGTGTGTCCTGCCGCTGCAGCGTAGATAGCAAAGATGTGAATAACAAAGTAGCCACACCACTAACAAAAAATATCGGTGTGCAGTGCTGCAACCACAACGACGCATAATACAAAATTAACAACAATAATAATAATCAGACTACAACAATGCTCTTTTTAAAACCCTGGAAAGCTTCACGAGGATTAAAACTTATTTCAGGATGGTCCTGCATTAGAAGGTTTGCCAATTCCACGAATTAATATTCGCTACATGGCAGGACACCACAGGATTGAAGAATGAGGGGTAGCGCTCAAAGCTCCACAAAGAGAATCCATGATTTACTGTCGTCTAGCCACCACCACCACCTCACTGCACGATGCAGCAGACCACACAAAGCAGCGTCTACGGCCACATGCCACAACGATATAGATCACATCCAAGCCAAACGCAGCGGCCACAACAAAATCCAGTGCCGTGTGTACCATAGCAAGCACAGCTGTGGTCTCAGGTAGAACCGCCCCAACACTGCCGGTCACCATGCCCTGGGCCACCACCGCGGCACATGCAGAGTTGCGCCAACAGTGAGGGGGCGTGAACATTAATTAATATTATATTTTTAAGTGTTTAATCGCTTGGCAATTGCCATTTGTTTGTTCATTTACAATATGTGTTATCGTATTATCTGCAGATATTCGCTGCAATAGCTCAACTGCCGCAAACATTACATGCCGTAATTTAAATCAATCTGTCCATCGGTGTTCTTGCCAAAACTTTCCTGCAGGAGAGACATGTTGCCTCAATAAGCTCTCACGTGGATTAAACAAAGTATAACCGCTCACTTGTCCATCAACCTACCTGCATAACTAGCTGTTCACCTACTTACATGCCCAGCCATGCACACGTATATGCCTACGGAACCAACACTATTGCATTGTCGTGGAAACGGTGTGGTGCGTTCACAGTGGCTGTATACATCACTGCAAGCCTCTGGCACTACGATGCTCACAGAACAAGTGAATGGTAAATGACGCGGTGGAACAGAGGGCGATGCTATCCGGGTTTAAAGCGCACACAATCGTCCAGACCAAAATCCACAGAGGGCTAGAGAGGAATGCGGCGGGAGCCGTTGCTTAGTGAAATTAAAGCTCTTTAGGGCTCCTGGCTGCGGCGGGAAGCGGGTTTCGGGTCCATGCGGCGAAAGCCAGCGGCGATAAAGGCGGCACGTCGATGGCCCGCCCGCGGGCACCGAGGTTCGGTACGATAAACACTCCCGGCACCCATGGGTAACAGGAAATGATTCCGAAACTCAGTGAAGCAACCACCTACATCGCGTGGCAGGTGGCCCCGCATGTCGCTTGTATTATAAAAAGCACATTTTCCGCGCCGAGTGGAATTCTACGGTAGCAGCAGGGCACAGGAGGGCAAGGTGGCTGAGGGTTTATGAAATACAGTAACAGGATCAAATTTTAAATTACTTCAGCGTCTGGAGATCCAGGATGCGGGCACGAAAATATATTTTAAGACATATTACCATTTCGTTATTTGCCGATATTTCTTTCTGCAGTCATCCTTGAGCCAGAAAATAGCTGTGAACCCAGTCACCTTTGCAGCCACATTCAGTACAAGTTATAACTCAAAAAGTAAATCATTATATATAGGCACAGTATTAATGCAATAACAATGCATGAGAACATTTATCACTCTACACTGCGATGGTGTAACCAGTGTATTTGAGGCCGGGTGTCAAAGACGCGGCGACGGGAGAGTTCACAGGACAGGCCACACCCCCTATTGCTTAGATCTAGGTAGAAGGAAGTGGAGAAGGTGCAGGGGTTGGAGAAAGAGGAGATAAAGGAAGAGGAGGTGATGGTGGAGACGAAGAGAAGGTGCAGGAGGTGTCCGCCGCCAGCCACGGGGCCCCTGACCTTGGAGCGGTAGGTGTGCGCTCCGCCCTGGAACTCGATGATGCCGTACGCGTCCGTGGGGGAGCAGCGCGTGTGCCGCTCCACGTTCCAGCTGCCCTGCGGGTCGGCGCCGGACTCGCCCACGCCCATGGTGAGCCCCGCTCGCGACGACGCCGGTGAGAGGCCTGGCGCCGGGCCTTCGTGCTGGCCCACCAGCCTCCCACAGCAGCACCTGTGCCACCACCACCACAAAAAATAATATTATTTATACAAAGGCCACCCATATAGCCTTCAACAGACTACTGGAGAAAATGGTGTTCACGCGCCTATTAAGGCCGGCACGGCACACGAGGGGGGCGTGGGTGGCCAGCACCACGCCATTCATTTGATGCCCGAGGACCGGTTCAGATATTTGTAGCGCAGTGCGCTATCCATGGCACTACCGCTCCTCACCTACAGCCCTGGCAAGCACAACGACATGCACCCCCACAGCCTCGACTGATGCGTGATGATGGATCAGTGGCGTTCAGTGGCGTTCATCAATAGATTATTGATTTCTTTATTTACGTACCGATTGCTTCACACATTTCAGTCAATAAGAGAGAGACTCTGTCAATAATTGTCAGAGAGTCCTGAAGAGTTTACACAATTGAACATTTAAGGCGATGGATTCATTAATACACTCCCAGCTGTTACAATTAGAGTAACTACGTGAGCAATATATTCACTAAATAAACATAGAAACTAAACATGTGTCGTTACTCCAAGCCAGGTCAGAGCCCAATAATGTTTTCGTGGAAACCACTTTTCCACTGATTTTCAGTGACTTTCAGTGGAAAAGGAGCCAAACGATTAGAAAGCAGCAGTCCTTTAACCAATTTTTACAACAAATCTCTGCTCCATCAATCATATAAATCAGACCCGACGTATCTTGCACAAGGAGACAGCTGAACATACGAAATACAACGTACGTGTTGTATAATGATTTCTTGGTTTTGTTTAGGTTATTGCGATTCGGTGGAATTGGCCGACACTCTTCAGGAGACACCAAGTGGAGGCTGCCTAACGGGACGACGATCCGTATCAGTGGGGCTCCCGTGTAGCGAGACCATGACCAAGTCCGCTGTGGGTCACAATGCCCGTGTGAAACGTGAGCCCTCCCCGGGGAAAGTGTGTGCACGCGTGTGTCTAAACGCTCGCATTACGGATGTTTTGGGCCGTTCTGCTGGCCGGTAACAAGGATCGCTGCCGTGCAGATGCACATACCGGGTTAATAATAATACGCTACCCAGGAATGACTGCCGAATGAACGTCATCACACTGCCAAAAACAACAGGCACTTCGACTTCAATTCACTCCCAATTCTAATTCAATCCTTCCTCCGATTAGCACGGTTGGTTATGTACGGTGCGAAGGAAGTTCAACATACATACATGCATACATTTGGGAACTTTGGTGTCAGGATAGTTGATCTAATATGACTACAGCTATTATTCATGGGTAATACTGGGCTAGGTGGTAGAGTACCTGACCCACATTCAGAAGGTCAGGGATTTCAAATGCTGGTGAGCAAGTTGACACAAGCCATCATCATCGTCATATCTCCAAGGTCAATAAATATGGTAGCACCCCTTTGTGGGCAGTCAAGAGTGGTAATAACATGGAAAAACTGGAACCTGTCATGAGAATGTGGAAATTCTATCAATGGCCGAGGAGTAGATAGTAGCACTCCTAATGCTTGCTTAAAAATGGGACAGCACTTTTGACAATTCATGACTTCTTGTTAAATAGCTTGACATAAACAAGAAAAAGTCTTACCTGATAAGCTGCTGACAAATCTGACATCCTGGAAGACATCTGTGAAACGACAAACCACAAGTCACGTGATACTTTACAGACAATCGAAATGAGAACGTGGGCTAATCTGCAATCGAATCCTGTCAGAAAACTTTTGAGTCTAAGGGAAATGATTAGAAATTGAATGCTCAATCCACAATGCAGGGAGGGGGCCACATTTATAGTTTAAATGATAACCCTCAAGGATGTATCGCGCACGAGCAGCAGATATTTGAACTGTGCCCAAAAGCTGCTTTTACAATAGCGCAACTGTGTGAATAAACTTCCTCTTGCTCAGAACGCACGCAGTGTATGACACGCTGCACCCTCGATGAGTGGGAGTTTGTTCTGAACAGATGCCCTTTGGCAACATGAACTAAATTGCACATGTTTTAAATAAGACGATCGACGGTTCTGAGCAGATGTTTGATTTAATCAAGACACAAGCAATACACGTTGAATGAGCGTTCCGTCGACGAGTGGGCGTTTTTTCCGTACCATCACGCTCGTGTGAACAAATAATGTTCACGTGATGCGGAGCCCCACGGTGGAACAAAACTACAGCAGCTGTCGTTCCAAATCTGTGAGCGAGCGTGAGAGCGTGCGTGAAAGTGTACGTGAAAACGTGCGTGCGTGCGTGAGAGCAAGTGTGCGTGAGAACGAGCGTGCGTGAGAGCGTGTGTGCGTGAGAGCGTGTGAGTACGTGCGAGCGTGCGTGAGAGCGAGCGTACGTGAGAGCGCGCATGAGAACGTGCGAGCGTGCGTGAGAGCGAACGTGCATGAGAGTGAGCGTTCGTGAGAGCGAGCGAGCGTGAGAGCAAGTGTGCGTGAGAGCGAGCGTGCGTGAGAGCGAGCGTGTGTGCGTACGTGCGTGAGAGCATGCGTGACAGCGTGGGTGCGCGAGCCACCCTGGGAGGGTCGCAATCATGTGATGACAAACCGGGCGACTCTAACGAGCCGCACATCAACGCATGGCCTCCCCTAGCCGACACCGCGGCTCCCAAGCCTTTGAATTATTAATCGCAGAACTGCTGCTGTGCAGTGATGTCATTTTGAAACACTGCCATGCTGATCAAACTTAAAACCTTGCAGTGTTTTAAATAAGACTCCACAGCCGAGCATTGATAGATGAGTGCTGAAAACAAACAGCCAAATTATCAGCCAAAGTGTCTGCTTTCCACAGACCTGCCTTGCGATGGATCGCACAATTACAACGATATGAATAACAGTATTTCAGCCAGACGGCTGAGACAATCAGTGTTTGCGAAGTTTGTAGGTATCTGTGCTTACACGGTCAACCCTTACCTGTGCGGATCTTTGGAGCTGGGGATGATGTAACAGCATTCTCTCCTGCTGAAATTTTGTTCAATCCAGGATTTCTGGGACTGTGGAATGACAACAGAAATGCAAGGTCAGTGAGTAAGACGCAACAACCGCCAGGCCAAGGAATGCATTGCAAACGTGCTGGTAATTAAATCGTTAAACCGCGTTTGTACTTTTCAGAGAACGCAGCTTTTGCGCCCCATAAACAGCCGGCTGTGTTAACAGCAACAGTCGCATTGTGCTTTGGCCAACAAAGCAGACACCAGACGGAGCTGTAAAAGGACACGGCGCACACCCGAGGGATTGAGAGGGCGCGGCGTGACAGAGGGGTCACACGAGCGCACGCGGTAAGAAAGCGAGCGGCCGCACCACCAGCAAGCTTGCGCCGCCGCACTTGTCGTCGCGTTCATCGCTCATAGTCGGCGCGCCACCCAGGAAAAACCGAACGCGGAGGCCGATTTGTCCGCGTCTCGATCGAGCACGGGTCGCTCGCAAGCGACACGTTCGGGAGTTACGGCCACTAGCGCGGCGGGCCCACGAAGCGGCGCGAGCAGCCGGGGACGCCGCGCGAGGATTAGCCGATGAGAGCGTGGGCCTCGAGGATCGACACCGTCACGGGGGCTGCTGGCGCCGCGCCCGGATTCCCGTCAATGGCGAGCACGCAAGCACGCGCTCCTTCTTCTGCCTTCGCTGGAGGAGATGGTGGTGGCAGCCGGCCACGTTGGGTGGAGACGGCGGTGGCGGTGGCAGCCGCCCGTCGCTCCGAAGCCGGTGCCGCCCTCGTTGCCTGTGGCAATCGCCGCTGAAAGCCACGGAACAGGTTTACCGGGCAGGAGTACCACAAGGAATTTTTTTTTTATTTTACCGGAACTATTTAGTGAAATTTATCATTAGTTAATTACTCTAATACGTGTCAGGTATCAAACGAAACTTAGGCTGAAGATTTAATGAGGGGGGGGGGGGATCTCGGCAACTTGACATGAGAAGGGCCGATGGCGTGCAATGTGAGCGCTGCTGCTGCTGCTTTTACTGCCGAGTCCCTTTCCTGCCTCGGTATTCACCGTGGGGCACAAATTCCTCTCGCTCGCTGCGCGACTCTCGCAGAGCGGCACCGTCGTCGCACAACTTTATTCCTGACCACAGATTCTGCCTTTGGGATATTTATCATCGCAAAAAATTTGCTACATTAAAGAGTTGTTTGAAGTGTCATGATATATATCAAAAATTGTCATTCGACATGATGCAAAAATGATTCGGTGGAATTGGCCGACACTCTTCAGGAGACACCAAGTGGAGGCTGCCTAACGGGACGAGCGATCCGTATCAGTGGGGCTCCCGTGTAGCGAGACCATGACCAAGTCCGCTGTGGGTCACAATGCCCGTGTGAAACGTGAGCCCTCCCCGGGGAAAGTGTGTGCACGCGTGACCTTTTTCTGAGTGAGAAGTGGGAGGATTAAGTTAAAGCAAATTGTAACTTGCTGACCCGCCTCCACTGGACATCTGTAAACAAAGAGCTTCGTAGCTCATCGGATTCCTCCAGGAATAAATAAGGCTTCTGATTCCGAGTCCGATTATATATTGCGTTGGCTCTTGCGCTCATTGAATGTGTCGTACTGTGCGCCTCCCATCACTTGTGGATGAGTCACCTGACCCAGAGCGTGGAGGTGTTTCTGGGACAGATGTCAAAGGCGCAGGAACAAATGCGCCGACATCTCCACGCGCAGCACGGCGGTCATGACCACCGAACTGCGCTCCCGTTTGATGTCGAGAGACTTCCTCCGACTTTACGACCCGCCAGGACTTTGTGACCCTCTTGGCGGTGACCCACGCGCACTCGAAGCTGCCGAAAGGGCAACCGGCAATGGGCGCAATAAAACGCAGCAACACGTGAAGGCCGACAGTCAGGGCCACGGCGCGGGGGGCGCCGGGGGCGCGGGGGGGGGGGGCTACGTACGGGAGAAGACGGCAAAGGGTGTTTTTAAGGCGGCCTCGGAAGGGGGTCCCTTATTTACCGCATGCAATGATCGCGACGAGAACGGTGCTGGGGATAAGAACATATAACCGCTCGAGATGCTCGGCCTGTGCCCGCGTGGCGAAGCTTAAATGGCAACAAATCGGCGTGCATTTTTGTACCGCTCGGTAACAATTGCATCGGACAATCCAGACGGCGAGACGCGCAGACAGACGTCTTTGACCTCGGCAGCCAGCAAAGCGCAGACGCAGTTGACAAGTGACGGGCACGCTGCGACGTGATGCTCGAAGCAAGGCGGCAAGCTCTGAGCAAAATAGGGATCGCTCGGAGCGTTGCACGGCAGTGAGCTTGACACGACCGGCGTGAAAATAATTCATCACAATTGTGGAACCCACCCCCGCCCTCCATCCAAACTGCCCCTCAAGGTCACGGCGCATCAAGGGAAAGTGACGACCGCCGCCTGCCTCTTCATCAACGACTTCTCCCGCCGCACCCCTCTCGTTTACTTGGTTGGCGTTAGAATTACTCCGAGTGCCGGGACGCGGGACTCGGATAAAAAAACATCGCGTCAAAGGCTTCAGTGTGGCCTCACCACTTTATCTCCCTTGCTTTGAGAGTAAAGAAAACAGCGAGGTGAGTGTGTGCGCGAAGCACGCCGCGAAAACAACGCTGCTGCTCTCACATTATTGATTTTGTTAATTAGCAACGATGTTTTTTTGTTCAATGTTGCATTCTAGTATACATAAGTGTGTCTTGTTGATTTAAAACATGTGAAAACCAGGAGTTACGTACCATATGTGCGTGCGTATGCAATTATTGGTTCACGAACAAACCGAGTGGCACCACTGCGGGAAGCCAACAGCAGTTATGCTATGACTGCCTCACGTCGTAGGAATGTGGAATTTTTCTGCGTGACTCTCGACTGCCAGTGGAGATGGGCATTATCATAAGCTCTCTCGTGCAAGGGCACATTGAGTTTGTATGCACTGTATCGCATACAAAAACGCAAATATCGTTTTCTTTAATTGGAAACAATTCGCGAGTGCCAATTTTCCTCTTTTGCGAGGGAGATGAGTGGGAATGCAGAGCGAATACGTGCGTGCGTACTACCCATGCTGCAGGCCGCTACGCTGCTGTGATTGTTGTTGCTGTTGTTGTTTGTTTTTTATTCGATAATTAGCCAGGAAACCCAACTTTCACATGGCTCCGTTCTGCAGCGCTGTGTCCAATTACACAGCATGTTCCGGTCACAGCCGGAATGTGGGGCGAGTACCGATGAAGGCAGGGCTGTCAAAATCCACGTCAGCTTTTTTTTTTCTACGACATCGCATTGATCCTCAATGCCACGGCGGTACCTGGAGCGGCGTCACTCCCCCGGTGTAGGCGGCGAGCCGAGCTCGCGCACGACGAGTGCGCCCTGCCAGCTACACGGGAATTTTTTAAAAACCTGCCAATTCAAATAAACTAGGAGGCCTCGGGGTTACACCAACGCCACCTCGCAGGCTACCTGCCACGCGGCAAGTCTCTACATTTTTTAAAATTTCATCTTGAATTCGAAAGTCGAAATGTGCACGGCAATTCCCAAGGGCTGCCGTGCAATAAAAGAGCGAGGCTCCCCCCCAGTACCCCCCGGACTCCCCCCGGGCTCGTAACGACAGCACGCGAGTGGCGCCGGCCACGCCGTAAAGCGGAGCGGTGCGCAGCGAGTCGAGGCAGCCCAGATCGGGCGGTTTCCATAGCGTCGCGTACGGCACTGGCACCGCCGTCCTCACCTCCAATGTAATTCTCCCTTCTACCGTCTTCTTACAGTGGGCACGGCGAGCGTGTTTACTGATCGATGCCGACTCATCAGAGCGGTAAGCAAGCAGCTGGTGAGTGGTCTCGTGGAGTCGCGCGGGGCAGGCAGTGCTGAAATTTGGATCAATGGTATCGCAGGAAATGGCATCGCTCTCTCGCTCTTCCCCCGCCGAAACAATTAGTCAATTTTCCGCGCGTGCCACAGGCTAGCTGTAGAGCAACGTTCTTGCCGGTGAGCTCCACTTCTGGATGGACACAAGCCAAGCTGCTTGAGCCATGAACAAAAATCGGCAGCGACAAACGGCTAAAATAACTTCCTTCGGCTGAATGCGCCACGTACGTACAATGCTAACGCCGCAACACAATTAATAAAAACCAGAAATGACTCAGAACCGGGTCCTGAACTTTTTTATTTATTTATGTACACATTTTAAAGGTATTATTTCCATTTAAACGTCTGTTATTGTTATTAGATTCCCTAGAGGGAAGCCAAACTCTTTGTTTCTCTGAATTTTGCACAATCCTGCCCTTGTTGCATTCTGCACCCTGCCGTGAACCCTGTTCGCCACGCCAGGTCCCGTCTTATGAAAGAGACGCTCGCTGTCTCCGCAGCCTCTCACCTGGCCACGGACAAAAGGTTTCATTCATTCGCTCTTCTTAATGAAGCTTTAGAAGATTTATTGCTGGATCATCGCCACGACAAAAAAAATTGCTCCCAGCAGCTCGCGTGCACAAGTGTCCATTCCTGCGGTGGGAGTCTGCGGGGCTCAACGAGTCACAGGAAAGCAGGCACCAGGTCTCCAAGTTACTTCGGCAGCGGGGGGGGTCACTGGACGATTCGCACCAACACAAAGAGGCCATTAACTGTACTTAAGACAGTAGAACATTGCCAGCGTCGTAAAGTAATTTGGCAGTACCTGTCTCGCTACTCAAACACTGGGGCAGCACCTATGTCTAGCGACCACCCTAAAGCGCCGGTGGAAGCCCTCTCTCCGCACCCTGTGGTGTTGTTGCGGCACGGGGTCCATCGTCTCAAAGGGAGACGCCGACGTTCGGCGCGAGCCTCCGATTGCACAACTCCACGACGACACCGGCAACAAACGGTCTTCATCCGCTTGGAAACGGGTAGCGTTTTGAGAGTTTGATATATTGTCGTTTTAATTTACAATTACATTAAAACCTCACTGCGACAGAGGTTAACGACAGTTATTGTTATTTTGCTCATCAAAATATAAGTCGTAGTAATCATATCTATAGCTACATTTTTTAAAATTATATTTACACATACACTTT